TCTCTGCTGTGTTTCGAGACTCCGCATACCACGGGCTGAAGGCTTTCGCGGCTTAGGGCTTGTATAATACAGGCCCGGGCCTGCGAGTTCCACGTAAAACCCTGGGAATGGGAATTGTGCTCGATGCGATTTCTGCTGGTAACCCCTATGCTGTTCCGAAGTACAGCTCTCCGGGTCCGGGAGCATTTCAACACTGCCTTTGTTTTACGAGGAGCCCGACTCTACTTCAGAAAACCGCAACTTCAGAACAAACCAAACCCCAACCCTACTTGAGAACGTCTCAAACTGTCTTAAACCCAGTTATAGGCCTCAGACCCCAAGCCCGCCCAAGCCCAACTGCAGGCACGAAAGCCAGATGCAGCAGGTCCTGACACATTGCTGCCGGAAGCTGGCAACACCTGAAGCCAAAATTCGACGACTTGGTCGACCGGTTAAGCGAAGTTTTGTGGTGCAGGATTCGTAGCCTCCAGTTCTAGGTTGACAGCTTTTGCAGTTCAGAGTGGAACACCTACCTGAACGAAGCCAGCTCGGAGGTGGGTCGCTTAGCTCACAAACCTACAAAATACGATAAAACTCTACGACTCTACAACATCCTAGCAGCTACGAAGTTTGCCCTACAACCTCCTCTAAAAACAGACCTTCCACATCATGCAACATCCTACTACGCAAAAAAAATTAAGCCCCTGTCAAAAAGCTGGAAGCTAGCTCCAGCTGCAATCGTAGTCATCTGACGCCACCTTTCACTGACCATAAACAAGCACTCAACCCTAAGAGTTTAGGGTTTGCGAGCCCCTCATCTAGCATGGAGCCCCAAATGAGCGCCCTCGACAGAACAGTGGCAAGGAGCGCTTGTGAGCTCCGTGTTAGTTTAGGGTGTTGAGTTTAGGGTTTAGGGCGGGGGCAACTAACTGAATAGTGACGAAGGGGTCCAAGCATTCCAAGCCCAGCTTGGCAGTCTGAACAGTGATACAAACCATTGCCAACAATCATAGTCAGCATCAGCCCTGGCTGCACTTGGGACAGGAAGCATAAGAAGCAGAAAAAGACACGTAAGCAAGCACAGATCTACAGGCTGTACCGTACAGGCAGATTTCCATTCTCTCGATCCCCGCCAATAGGGCAAGCAACAGCCCAGACAGCAAAATCCTCGCTACTTGGGGGAAGAATTAGAACACAGTAGGGTCTTGGGGCATATTTTACTTTGACTATAGTAAGGAACCCTAGGAATGATATTGGCAAGTATTCAAGCCCCCATACTGATGGACAAAATCCTGCATTACCCGTTATGAGGAATATACCATAGTTCCCATAGTTTAGGGTACTTAAGGTCATGCAGGATTTTGTCCATCAACAGTAGTACCCTCATACCCTCAAGCCGGCCTGAGTGCCCCAAATCTGCCTTGGCTGGGCAGACTCTGTTAGCTTTACTTGGAGATTCATGGGTCGTTAAAAGTGGGGTTATAGGGTTGCCTTAGAGGGTTCTCTAGGGTTTAGGGTTTAGGGGTTTAGGGGTTGGGGTAGCCACACGTAGGGTCATAAGTCCCTTAATATGGGTGATAGTTATAGTTCCCTGCTTATAGCCCCAGTGATAACTACGCATGAACCTCCAAGGAGAGGCTCTGACCATCGTCGACGTCATCGTCATCGCCATCGTCACCATTAACGGCATCATCCACAGCCAGCCTCACCTTGACAATCACCTTGTCACCATCAGCATCATTGGCACAACTGTCGCCGAACAAACATATGAGTATGGTTGGTATTAGGTTGTTATTAGTACGCATCTTCATAATCACGACCATGAACGCCGGTTTGCAAGTCCTCTGACGCTACTGCTGGTGATACCTGCTTTTCTGTGATCAGCATCCTGGGCATACCATCTTGTCGCGCAGCCGCTGTTGCTGGGTTTTTCACCTCTGTGCCGTCTCAACATTGCGGCGGTCGTTACCCAGCATCTTGTGAGCTTATTGCGGGTATCATGACGGCTATGATGACATTCAAGAAGATAAGACGGGAAGGATGATGTTTGCGCAAATGACAAGTTAAAATGAAGGTGCTGGTGGTGATCGCCGCGTTGGCATTTTTATGGTGCCGGTGGCAGTGGAGGCGGAGGTGGCGGTTGAGGTTGGTGATGGTGACGTTGCCGATGTTGATGATGGTGCTGATGACCGTGATAAAGACAACGGTGACGGTGACGCGAACCATGTGGGTCATTGATGAAGATGCAGGACGTCTTGCCTCCGTCCAGCGTCAACATAAACATGTGATAATCATTGGTAGTGGTCTTGCTGACGGCTATGTGATGATGATGATGACGATGATGCAGATGCAGATGCAGATGCAGATGCAGATGAGGATGATGATGATGATGATGACGATGACGATGACGGTGATGGTGCCGTAGATGGACCTCTGACCCTAAGTTCTTGTTCCATCAAACCTTATCAAAAATGCTGCCGAGCCGCAGCTGCGCAAGCATCAGGAGAGCCATAGCCGAAGGTTTAGGGTTGATGGCCACAAAATCGTAAGGCTGTCTAAAGATTAGAAAACACGGTTGCAAATGTTGCCATTATTTCAACCAACACCATGACGACTGAGACTATTACTGTATGATCACGAGGCTCGAGTAAGTAAGCTGGAGGTTTTGTCTTTGGTTCGGTTCTAGGCGCAGGGTTTAGGGTTCCGGGTTTCGGAGTTCGGACACAAGCTTCTTCAAGGCTTATGGCCTTCAGGGCTCTCGTCATCAAGCGATCAGAGGGATGCGGGAACCACAGTCGAAGCCACGTCCGAAGGAGCGCCCTTTGCGATCTATGCGCAAGCGTTTTTGAGTGCTTGGGAAGTTCGAGAGCCGTATCTTGCACCGAGAACAGCTTTGCCCAAGACCCTAAGCTCAGGAAGCTCTGAACCCCCAAAAATCTGAACCCCGAAACCCCAAACCCCAAAACCCTAATCCTGAGTATCTGGAGTTGTGTATACGCCTCCCATCATGTGTTTACGGTTTTGGGGTAGCATTTAGGGCGAGTTTAACGTTTCGGATACTGATCGCCTCGTTGCCAATGACCTTTTAGAGAGCCCGTGCCTGAAAGTCTCTAAGTGTGCGATTTTACGATCATACGAAAAATATATGCACCGCTCTATATAACATACCATGTAGGGTATATAACACAGAACATACAATTTCTGATATATATATATATATATATATATATATATATAACATACATAGTGTATACTATACTAATTCAACTTGGTAAGTTGAAAGCTTCGGGTTGGACGTCTGGGGTTGCTCCAGGCTCGGAACGACATGGTGGCGGAAGAACGTCGCCTTCTCCTGGGCCAGCTTTAAGGGCTGAACCCAACTTGGAGGGTCGGGGGACTTAGTAAGTAGGTTATAAGTAGACTTATAAGTGCCTTAAAAGGGACCCTAATTGGGGTTATGGTACTTATAAGTCTCTAAATTACCAACTTACTCAATCCCCCGACCCTCCAAGAGAGAGCCCAATACCTTAGAAGGGGCCCCCAGCCTGTAATAGTGGTTCAATCGGAATATGACAGGGCCCTCATATAATCCTTATAGTCACTATGACAGGGTGGGGGCAGCTTCAAACCAATACCCCTTAATTAAGCAATATACCTTCAATCATTAGGGGCTTCTATTGGAACTTCAGAGTTTAGGGGTTTTACGTGTTAGGGCTCTAGGGGTTTAGGGCTTTAGGGGTTTACGGGTTTAGGGCTTTAGGGGTTCAGGTTTTAAGGTTTGGAGCCGTTTAGGGGTTAAGGGTTTAGGGTTTAGGGTTTAGGGTTCAGGGTGGGTTTAACTGTAGCCGAAAGGACCTACTTTTTTAGGGAACTATACATAGAAACCTCACTAAGAAACCCAAAAAAGGTAGGTCTTTTCGGTTTAGGATTTAGGACTGACGGGTTTGGAATGTTGCGATGTGTAGCCTTGGCCGGCCCCCAAAACTCCAAACCTGGAACTCCTTCCCATAAACACCGATCCCTGAACCCTACAACCATACCCCCCTAAATCCCCAACCCTAAAACTAAATTCCTGAGGCCTTAAGACAGGGGCCTTAATAATCAGAACGAGGTTTTGGGGTACATTATACCATAACCATGTCCTCGAACCCCCACAATAGTATTGGTACTTGTTTAGGCCCCTAAACTAAACCCCCACAATACCCCTTGTAGCAACCGTTTATAAGACCCCGTTAAAACGAACCTTTAAAATTTACAACAAAATTAACTATTGCATTTCAAAATCTTCACTACATTCCAATTAGAATTTCCAAAATATTTTGAAAAATAAAATAGTTTAAGATGTTGTTTGAGAAAATGTTTTAAGATGTTGTTTGAGGTTTTATAAGTTAGGAGAATTATTATAATATCCCTTATGATACCCGAATAGGATCTCCCGTTGGGGGCCCCTATCCTAAACCCTAAACCCTCTATATCCCTAACTTATAGATCCCTTTAAAGGAACCCTTGTGGTCTCCCTTTTTGGGGCCCTATATTTCATCCCAAGCCAGCCGGCGCCTCGCCCCAAAGCTTCTCCCAGGCATCCTCTTTGATGAGCTCCATAGCAGAGTTGCTAGGGCCTGGGTTCAGGGCTTAGGAGTTTAAGGGGTTTAGGGTTTTTGTTTTAATCTATGGGTTTAGGGTCTAGGCTTTTGGGTGTTTCTCCTTTAAGTTTAGGTACGAAAAGTTTAAGGGTTCGGGTTTTGCTTTGCGTCTGGCGGGTCCTGCTTCTATAGTTGTGGGCTTTAGAAACTAACAGCTGGGCTTCGGTTCAGGGTTTGCAGTTCAGGAGAAAAGCTAGGAGGCTCAAATGAAAAGGCTGCAAAGCGCACCCACGGTCCGGCCCGCGTCATCGAGAAGCTAAGCCAAGAGGGACACATACCCAAACCCTGAAATGTCTGCAGAAAAGAACCCAGAAACAGCACACCTGATCCCCTCGTCTTCTGCCGGCAACTCCGTTGACGGTGAGAGTGCGAGTTGGCTTAAACGCCAAAGTGCATGTCAGGACCGACCAGAGCTGTGCTTTCCCCTGGTATGTCCTTAATTAAAGCCTCAATCTCGCTTTGGATGTGGCCATACGCAAACTGAATCCATTGTGTAAACTTTTCAAACAATTCCACTGCCCGGTCTGCAGGTACCTGCGCATCACTCGCGTAGAGCAAGCGTGCCTCTGCAAAGGCAGTTGATAAAGCCTGGCTTTCTGGCGCAGGTCCAAGGACTTTATCCTCAAGAACCCACTTCAAGGCTTCTTCTGCGCCTTCTATCATTTCCTTGAAGAGCTGCCTGGCGCTGCTCTCGTCGTCCAGTTGCGAACGACTTTTTGCTGCTATCAGACATCGCTCTCGACCAATGCCTTCTTTGCAGCGCAGAAGGAAGGCGCACCGGTCTGGGACTTGTTTGGCCTCAGGCCAATCGATGTCGAAACCCCAATTAGCAATCACTTGAATGGCCTAACAAGCAGCCAAATGTGGGCTGCATACCCAGGATGCGCCCGAAAACGCTTGCTGTCAGCAGGTTCTCACGCCTACGCAAGGAACCCATCAATCACTCGTCACATCTATCACTTGCCGCACATCACCAACAATTCATGTCACAGATCACTCATCGCGACCATTCATCTCTCACCGACCGCAGAAACCGTTCATCCTGCATATCATTAAACAGAGGGCCTGACACCAACTCATTCAACTCGTCACTCAACCGCAGTCACCGACTCTCCACCTGTCGTGAGCTTTCCCAAACCGCTTTGATCCCTTCTACTGGGCTCACACGGTTTACGCGGAAGCCATAATGCTTGAAGGCGCTGGAGCCACTCTCATGCACTCCCATTCACTCACGCACTCTCATTCACTCATTCAGCCGGTCAGTCACTCTCTCTCTCTCTCTCGCTCTCACTCACATGCTCACGCACCCGGCCACACACGCACACTCTCCCATCCACTCACCCAATCGCTCTCGCTCCCTCACTCTCACTCACTTTCTGACTAGCTCAGTCACTCTCTGAGTGAGTGACGGCCGTGTGGTAGTTGACACGTCATTGCTGGCCATCTCTCCAGAACTCTTCGGGAAAATGCTAAAAGCATCTTGATATCTGAGCATGTGACCTCTGGAGATTCCAGGGCTTCTGCCGCGAAGCCGAGGGCTTGCACGATGGTTTTCATGATGCGATCGATGAGTGCATGGTATCCCGTGTCCCCCATGCAGACGGTCTCGTATCGGCTGATCCAGCTGGGCGTCACGTGTCGCATCGCATCATTCACGCGGCCTCGCTGCAACACCACGCCAACAGAGACCTCTTGCACGGCGAACAGGTCCTCGACGCGAAACCCTGAGGAAAGCCAAAGTGGCAAAACCCCGAGACCCTCTCCAGAAAAGGCTGTGATTTCAGGTCCTTGTGCTTGCTTTCTATGTAGCCTTTCTCCTCGAGGGCTGGCACCAGGCGCAAGATCTCGGAGAGTTGCTGTACAGCCTTGTCGCCGCTGGTGCGCTGGCTCTGCAAGCGCTCCACGGCAGTCGCCATAACTGTGGGGTCTGCAGCTACGGCATAGCATGAAAGGCCACGCTCCAGTTGCAACTCGTGCATAAAGCATGTCATGGCCCTCGAAAGCCCTGCAAAGTATTGCTGTGCGTTGTTGGCGCCAGGAAACTGGACTCGTGCGTGGGTCCCCCATGCACCTTCCAGGAACTTGGCCATGCCGTGCATCGGCGAATCGCCTTCGCTCGCCACGACTTCCTTCACCGCACCGAACCTTTTCGCTCTCAACTCGGCTTGCTCCTCGTCATAGGGACCCTTAGGGTGGTGGGAGGATGGGAGGGGGGGGTAGGGGGCCTTAAATTCCTATAATAAAGACTGAAGAAGGCCTACTTAAGGAAGTGGAGTCCCCCAAAAAGGTTCTTAGGCTCCTCAGCCAGTTGAACCACCACAGCCATTCGAGGCCTTCTCTCACCGAAGATGATCTCGTCACCCTCTCCGTACACCACCTCTGCACTCTGCATCTTCACAGATCCTTGGCCGACTCTGACCCCCTCCTAAAAGTTCAACTTTTGCCTCGTTATTGTGCTTCATATAGAAACCCAAAAAGGTAAAGTCCTAAGAGTCAACCACGAAAAACGCCAAGGATCTCTGAAGCTTCTCGTTCCAAAGCTTCAAGGCCCAAGAGACCATCTTCCCCAAGATCGTGCATTGAAAAACTTCCAAGGTGCTGCCTTTCAGCAGCGTCTCCTGGGTCAGGGATCCCTAAACCCTAAACCCTCTAGAACCCTTAAAAGAACCCTTAAAGGAACCCGAAACCCTAAACCCTATAGAACCCTTAAAGGATCCCTAAACCCTAAACCCTATAGAACCCTTAAAGGATCCCTAGACCCTAAACCTTATAGAACCCTTAAAGGAACCCGAAACCCTAAACCTTATAGAACCCTTAAAGGAACCCGAAACCCTTCTAGCCCCAATTGTACAACTCCCAGTCTCCTTCTTCAAGTTCGCGGCTTTCAGCTCGGTGTTCAGGGCGAAGTCTAAGACGTCACCCAGCTTCTGCCGCGCTTCCGCTTCGGTTCGACCGCACACGGCCATCCTGGGGTCTTCTTAAGGAGTACGGTTTAGGGTTTAGGGTTTAGAGTTTAGGGTTTAGGGTTTAGGGTTTAGGGTTAACTTACCAGAATAGGGATCTATAGTAGATAATATGGTTTCCTTATCATGGGAACTTAAGATAGATTCCTTAACAAGAACCCAGAATCAGGAGATAGGTGTTCCAATTCACAATATCCGCCACCACCAGCTTCTCCAAGTCGGGCATGGAGTTCAGGAAGGCCTCTGAACTCGGACCTTAGCTCCCATTATTGCTTGGAGGTTCAGCGTAGTTGTAACTGGGCTTATAAGTTTCCTAGCATGGGTTATAAGTATAGTTACCCTACTTATAACCCTACCAATAACTACCCATGAACCTCCAAGTAGTATTAACAAAGACTTATCTCAGATGCGTGTATCCGTGACTACAGCGTGGCGAAGATCTTGCTCCACGCTCCCGGAACCTATTGGTTTGTTGCAACTATTGGATTTAGCAACACAAGGGGAGACACTCCACACCGCACCGACTGAAAGATCATTTTCCAGAAGCGGACGTCACCCGTTCAACGCCTCTGAACATTGAAATGGTCGAAACATACACGGCGACTTCGACCAAACTGAAGCGGAACACTGCGTTGAACATCACATTCTGCGAACCCTGGCTTATGGCAGGCATGCCCCCAAATCAAGGCATCGAACTTACTGAACACCGGAACAGCTCTCGTTTTGTTTTTGAGACAAGTCTGGCATGTCCCTTCACCTCGCTTCTAGGACTTGACAGGCGGATGTACTCGAGCATCGCCAGTGGAACTGCACAAACTTACCTTTGGCCCCAGCATCTTTCAACTGTTCCCAGGGCCTGGATAACAACAATTTAGAACAGGGTTTCGGGATAAGCTGTAGTAGGATAATATAACCCTAGACCCTGAACCCTCCAAAATAGTGTTGGCAATGATTCCGACCCCCACACAACATGTTCATGCACAGAAAGTTGACGACTCAAGGGGCTGACGTGCTCTCCCGGAATGTGTGAAGTGCTTTTGGGGTTTCGGGCTTAGGGTTTAGGATTTAGGGTTTCTTCCAAGCCACTAATTTGGGACTGCGTCTTCGACTGGAAGAAGAGAAGGGGAGGTGCCAAGAGGTGCTCCGCAATGGCCTGTGCCCCGTATCGATGCCCAGCTGGGAGAATGCCGTTCAGGAAGACGCGATCAATCGTCCAAGTGCGCTCCGAAATATCCAGCCAGGATACGAAATTCGCAGAATCCTCCTGTTACGGTTGGCTTTCTGACAAGCCCTTGGGACATATACAGTGGTGAAACATCATCGCCTTCATGAAAAGCAAGACGAGACAATGCAAAAGCTATAGTAGAATAACGTGGGTGACCGCTGTCAAAATCCGGTAGCTCTGGCGGTCCTTCTGCATGATATAGAATATTATATGGGTGAAAGCTATCAAAATCCCCAATCCCTAAACCCTAAAGGTCCTTCTGCATGATAGTGTGCTGCCAAAAGTGTTGAATCTCAGCGAATTGGCCTGTGCTCTTCGCCTTCTGCACCGGGACAAAGCATGTGCGAATCTCCAAAATCAATGGCTTCGATTCTGTACTGTCCTTGAAACCCATTCAAGATAGGGGCCTTAATAACTAGAACAGGGTTTTGGGGTATATTATACCAGAATAACAATATTGAACCCCCAACATAGTATAGATAATATAGGGGAGTTTCCGAAAATACGGGATCCCAATATGGCACCCTAAATAGTAGGATCCGTCTTATAAGGACCTCAAAATAAGGTACCCCTAGTTTTCGGAGACTCCCATAGGGGGCTTGATAATTAGAATAGGGTTCTGGGGTAGATTATACCATGATAATAAGGAACGTAATTATTCCCTTAAACTACAGACCCCTATTATAGATCCCCTATAGACCCCTTCAAAGGACCCCTTAAAAAAACCTATGGCTGTCCTTGAAACCCAAGGCATCCTTGAGGCTCTTCTGTGCTAAGCCGATGCCCACGAACTTTTCAAAGCCATCGATGTGCAAACCCGAACCTGTGTTCTCGTGCAGGGAAAGGGTGTAGGCTTTAAGGCTTAAGTTACCATAATAGGGATCTATAGTACATAATTTAATTCTTTTGATCATGGCAACTTAAATCCTAAACCCTAAACCCTTAAAGCCCTTATGGATCCCTTGAAAGAACCCTTAAAGATAGCCCAAAATTATTGTAAATCCCTTTAACAAGACCGTAAGCCCTAAACCCCTACTCCTTTTAACAAGAACCCAGGAACTCACCGGTCCATGCAGCTGGTACTCCAAGCCGTTCTGCAACTCCCGCAGTGCAAGGGGCAGGTGGTGAGCCTGCATACCTGCCTGGGTTTAGGATTTAGGGCTTAGGGCTTAGGGTTTAGAGTTTAGGGTTAAGGGCTTAGGGTTTAGAGTTTGGGGTTAAGGGCTTAGGGTTTAGAGTTTAGAGTTTAGGGTTAAGGGCTTAGGGTTTAGAGTTTAGGGTTTAGGGTTGTAGCTTCGGGGCCCTTAAAAGCATTTTGCCAAAACCCTATTCTAATTTAAAGGCCCCTCCAGTATGAAGAGGTACGTCTAGAAGAACCATAAAAGAAAAAAAAAGTTTCCAAAGTGCCAGCTAGCTGCTGCTTTCTCCTGCACATGCTCGGTCAAAGTCTTGTGGGGCGGTATCGTGGAGACTCTGGAGAGCGTCGACGTGTTCTGCTGCAACTGGTCGAAGACTGCCAGCCGAAACTCGGCTTCAAGAAGATCTACAGTCAGTGCGTGGCCATTGGCCTCGAGATCAGGCGTCATGAAGTAGACATCTGAGATCGTATTGGCATCCGTCTTCAAGAGCGCCGCAATGAGCTTGTACTTCAAAGTGCGCATCATGGTGACCACCGCCCCACGCTCACCTCCATTCGCAGGACAATCCACCGACAGTTTAATGATCTCGGTGACATCATGTAATGCCGCCCCTGCTGTTGGCACCGCTTTGCGGACCTCATCTGCAGAGCTCGAGCTCACTGTGACTTCATTCACCTCCCGCTTCGGCATAAGGTACCTGCGAAGGGGGCTGTGGTAAACTGGTGCCAGCTCAAAGCTCTGATCCACGTGGGCGCCGATCTTGATTAGTGTGGCTGTCTTGATCGTCAAGTCTCGTCTCCTAGATCATTGCTAGGCTAGGACTAAAAATCTACATTTTTATTCCCTATTGGGTTTAAGTACCCGTAAAAATGTCAAAATGACACTAAACCCTAAACCCTAAACCCAACTATGACAAAGTCTCAACACCGCATGCTCCAACAACGGCAGCTCTTCAGCGCAGTCCAGGCCGACGATGCGAAGCTGCACATTCTTCAAAACCTGCTCGGAGGTTCATGGGTAGTTATAAGGGCTCCTTTAAGGGGATCTATAGGGATTCTGTAAGGGTGTAGGGTTTAGGGCCTACTTGGAGGTTCATGGGTAGCTATGAGTAGGGCTATAAGTAGGGTAAGTGTACTAATAAGCCGCATTAGGGGACTTATAACCCTACCTGCTCCACAATCAACGACACTGGCAGGCCATCCAGTCGGAAGAAGCTCTGCCAGGCAGCTCTGGAAGCTTTAGGAACTACCGGTGCGGAGCTGGAGCACCCCATTTTGGACCCGCAAGGCTGAGAAAACGAGCGAAACATGACGTACCCGCCTAAGGGTCCCTATGATGCAATGCACATGTAAACGAGAAACACATCGCACTCCCAACCCCTAAAATGTCCACCTCTATCAACCCTAAACCCTGTAAAGAAACCCCAAAACATACCCCTCCCTTAGAACCATAATAAAAATAGCATTCTCAATATTCTCTTGGGTTTTTATATGAACAAAACCAAAAAATAGTTCCTAAGGAAACTACTTGGAGGTTCATGGGTAGTTATAGGGTTATAAGTAGGGTAACTATACTTAGAACCCATATTAGGGGACTTATAACCCCACCTATAACTACCCATGAACCTCCAAGTAGGTCCTAAACCCTACACCCTTATAGAATCCCTATAGATCCCCTTAAAGGAGCCCTTATAACTACCCATGAACCTCCAAGTATGGAAAACGGTGTGTCAGGTCCCCGGGCAGAAAAGAGTAAAAGGTCCCTGCTGGGAGAGCTCCTGGGGGCGCGAAAATTGTGTGATTTCAGGGCCTTGGGGTTTGGGATTTGGGGTCTAGGGTTTAGGGTTTTGGGTTTTGTGTTTAGGGTTTAGGGTTTGGGGCTTGGGGTATGTGGAGGAAGGAATATATTGAGGACTGCTCGAAGGGATTACATGGGGACTGCTATAAGGTCCACTCTCCCACTCCTCCTTAAGCATCAGTAAGGAGGGCGGAAGTTTGTCATTTCAGGGTTTAGTGTTGAGTGCTTAGGCTTCAATCTTGTTAGTGTTTACATGGAGGGGGGGCAGGGGACTTAGTAAGTAGGTTGTAAGTAGAGTTATGGGTACCCTAAATGGAGTTACCCCAATGATAACCCTACTTATAGACGACTTACTAAGTCCCCCGCCCCTCCAAGCAAGGTTTAAGATTCGAAGCCTAGGGTGTAGAGATTCGGATTTAAGGCTTAAAGCCTGCACGAGTAAATCCCCGAATCGACAACACCTTAGAAAAACGTAAACCCTAAACCCTAAACCCCTATGAAGCCCAGTTTGAGTCATCCTTGATCTTCCTGCGAGCTTCCTTGACTAAGATAGGGGCCTAAATCATGAGAGTAGGGTTTTGGGGCCCATGATACTAAAATTCGAGTAAGGAACCCCCAAAATGGTACAGGTCACTCTTAAGGCGCCTATACCATAGACCCCTATTTTCGATCCCTTATGGAACCCTACACAGGCCCCCATCGAACATCCTTAACCCTAAACCCTAAGCCAGTACTCACAAAGGGAGTCGGCCCGTCTGTCCGCCAAGCGAGTGCATCATGTCGGGATCAGATCACTTCTGGGACTTCTTGACATTGATTTTGGCACCCTTTTGCGGTTTAGGTTTAGGGTTTAGGGTGTAGGGTTTAGGACTTCTGGGGCTTCTTGAAATTGATTTTGGTACCCTTTTACAACTTAAGTTTGAAGTTTACAGTAGAAGCCAGAAAGTTGGAACATCATGAGCCTCATGCCCTTAAAGTGAAGTGTAGGGGATCCCAGCATGAATCACTTTAGGGTTTAGGGTGCAGGGTTCAGGGTTTAGGGTAAGCGTTGGTGCTCCTTACAATAAGGATCTTACTACTGCACTGCAACTGCTTGCACAAGAGAACCGAGGAAGCACAAACAAAAAGAAGAGAGTAATGAATCTCTTCAGGCACGCTCGGGGATTAGATCCAGACTGCAATGCTCATGCGTCGACGACTGTTTTGTAACAAGATTGTCCGACCCTGTTTAAAGAAACTTTAAACCTCAATCACCACCACAACGGCTAGCATCATCGTCATTTTCAATATCAGTATAAAGTATAGGAAATATCATTATCAGGCCGACACGGCCCTGCATGAGCCTCCTTCAGAATCGCAACTCACAGACCGTCATCTGTATGGACCAGTGCTTCAGCTGACATTATAACTTCATCTACTAACACCAGTCCTGCCTCATGCTACAGCTACCAATCTCACTGGACAACCGCCGCAACTGTCCTACCAGCACCACCACTGCTAGGGTCACAACCACCGCCACAACATCGCCACTACCACCAAACAGCGACGGGTACTAGGCAAAAGTACACAAGAGCGGGCAGCGATAGTCCACAACCCTACCCGATTCCCTGAAGCCTATAACCCGATGACCCTGAACCGAACCCGGATCAAGTCCTGGATCACTGACGGAGATTCGTCTAGCCGTGTGCCTCGGAATGCTTAAACACCCCTACTTGGAGGTTCATGGGTAGTTATAAGTCCACGAATATAGGTTATAAGGAAAGTTACCGTACTTATAACTACCCATGAACCTCCAAGTAGGCCCTAAACCCCATACCCTTACAGAATCCCTAGATCCCTTTAAAGGGACCCTTAGAGGAGCCCTTATAACTACCCATGAACCTCCAAGTAGACCCGGAACCCAAAGTCCTACGTTTGTGGCTTAAGAGCTGAGACTGCTGCTATCTTCCCGGCTCACAGCCCGTGTTCTGTCATGGGAGTTTCAGATTTGGTGTCCTTCTAATGAGGACCTTGCTGTTCAGGGTGCTATACTAGGGTCCCCTGTGCTGGGAAACCCCCTCATGGATTCCTACATCCTCAAGTTACAGAATATTACAGACAGCTGTGAAACCCTCATCTCAGCACCTGACAAGAAAGCCAGGAAAACCCTAAACCCCAAAAACGTTTGGTCTTTTACCGTAAACCCTAAACCCTCATCACCAAATCCCAACGCTCTCCACACCCCGATCAAGCCGAAGCTACAGGCCAAAGCCCCTGCAGGGTCTCGTCGCTTAGGAGGCTTAGGCGCTTCGGGGTTGAGAGTTCCCAGAGAGCCCAATACCCCTTAATTAAGGAATATACCTTAAATTATAGTAGGATCCCTAATATGATTTAAGGGGTATTGGGCTCTCTGGAGAGTTCCGAGAAGTTCTAACGTTGGAGGAAGAAGGGGTTGAACATAGGGGCCTTAATAGTTAGTTAGAGTAGGGCTCCTTTTCAAGGGTTCTTTTTAGAGTTAGTGTAAGGGATCTAGAAGGGTACTTTAATATTGGGGCCTTAATAATTAGAACAGGGTTTTGGGATACAACATGCTATAGTGATAATAAGGAACCCATCAAATAGCATTGGAAATTATTTAGGCCCCAATATTCGGTTTAGGGTGGGGACACCCGAAAAAGACAGAGGAGGGCATGCCACACCCAGTCGCTGGAAACCCACAATGTGGCCTCGAAAAAAAGTCGGGATTCTTGCAACCGTCCTACACATGATCCATACACAGGTCATCTTCAAAGATTCTCCTATCATCGACAGACAACCTTATGCAACTCCGCTCCGAAAACCCTAAACCCTAAACCACCTCTTCGACCCTCCCATAGCTAGGTCCATTGCTCTTAAGCCCCGAACCCTGAACCAAAACCAAGAAAGGGAGAGCTCGGCCCCACGACCAAACTCCCGCGCCGACGTGACCCTCTGCACCTGGGCCGTCGTGCTCTCAAGTGGGTGGTTGTCAAAACTAGGGTCCCTGTCTGGGTCCTTCATATAATACGGCACCTAATATTCAGGGTACCCAAAAAGGGACCATAATTCACTTCAGGAATTCACAGTTAACGCGCTCCATCTCTCTACTTGGGTCTGATCTGTTCCGTTCCCGTAAACCCAAAGCCCCAAACCTCGACCTGAGCCCTTTGCTCAAAATGACTTCATCCCCAAAGAGACCAATACCCCTTAATTAAGGACTATACCTTAAACCATTAGGGGCTTCATATTATGATTTAAGCTGTATTCCTCAATTAAGGGGTATTGGAGCCCCCTAAACCCTAAACCCTATAGATTCCTTAAAGGAACCCTAGGCCCTAGGTTTTCCTTTATGAAGGGGTGTTGGGCTCTCTGGGTCCAAGCTCGCGACATGGTTCACCACCGTCTTTCGGATGGCCTTCTTCTCAGACCAGAACCTAGGGCTCAGGGGGTTCCTACCTTGGGTTAGAAGGGGAATGGAAGAATGGTAGTAATGGTAGTTATAACTGTACCCCATTCCTCCATTCCCGACCCTAAACCCCAAACCCTCCATTCCCTACTTACCAAAAGTAAATTTTAGGGAGTTCGGGCATTGTCCATGCTTTAGTGGGTTCGGAGGATTGGGGCTCTTGTGGCTTCTGTGCTTCTTGGGTTTAGGGTTTAGGGTTTTGGGGTTTAGGGGTCTAGGGTTTAGGGGTTTAGGGTCTAGGGGTTAGGGTTTAGGGGTTTAGGGTTTCGGGTTTAGGGTTTAGGGGTTTAGGGGTTTAGGGTTTAGGGTTTAGCTTGTGAAGAGTCTCTGGGCCATCGACTAGCAGGCCCCAAATGCCGTTAGCCCACAAGGAAACCCTTTAGGGCTTTAGGGTGTAGGGCTTCGGGTTTCTATAGCCCTTTAAAAGTCCGAAACCTAAGCCTAAACCCTAAACCCTAAACCCCTAAACCCTAACCCCTAAACCCTAAAACCCTAAACCCTAAACCCTAAGATTGAGGGACCCTCAAATCCTGTAAGCAGTGACTCGCAGAAGCCCGCAGCTCTCTGACCCCCAAACCCTTCTGGTACTTGGAGGTTCATGGGTAGTTATAAGGGTTCCTTTAAAGGGATCTATAGGGATTCTATAAGGGTGTAGGGTTCAGAGCCTACTTGGAGGTTCATGGGTAGTTATAAGTCAGTAGTGATATAAGTAGGGGAACTATACTTATAACCCATATTCGGGGACTTATAATCCCACTTATAACTACCCATGAACCTCCAAGCAGGCTCTGAACCCTACACCCTTATAGAATCCCTATAGATCCCTTTAAAGGAACCCTTATAACTACCCATGAACCTCCAAGTAGCATCGTGGCAACCCTGGAACCCTCAAAATCTCAAGCTCAGACAGAGGGGAACTCTGCCCTGGAAGGACCTATCGCGACTGGACACCCAAACAAACAATATGGCAGGGTTTAGGGGTTTAAGATAGGGGCCTTAAATGATTTGAATAGGGTTTTGGGGTATATTATACTATAACTAACTAACTTTGTTCTGGTGCCGGCAGCCCCCAAATGGACAGGACACCATATATTATACTATAACTATAACACTTAAGGAACCACCAAAATAGTATTGGTATTTATTTCGGCCCCTGTAATAGGGTTCCCTCCACCGCGGAGGCCAAGAACGGCAAAGGTTTACGGCTTAGCGTGTAGTAGAGGTTTAAGATTTATGGACTGTGGGATTCGCTTGCAGGGTTAAGGGCGCAGGTTTTCAATTCATGCATGCAAGGTGCCAGCTGAGGTTGTTTTGCGCCGACCAGGGACAGTTGTGATACCATCCATACCTCCAGCGGTCGCTCGCCTACGCCTAACCGGAACTTCGAAAAGGTATGCATGCCGACATACTGAATCCAAGTAAGCCAGGCAAGCAGGCAAGCAGGCGAGAAATACACATCTAGCACCTTGGACAAGGTCTCCCGCTCGCTCGCTCTCTTTCTCTCTCTCTCTCTCTCTCCCTCTCTCCCTCTCTCCCCCTCTCCCTCTCTCTCTCTCTCTCTCTCTCTCTCTCTCTCTCCCTCTCCCTCTCCCTCTCCCTCTCCCTCTCCCTCTCCCTCTCCCTCTCCCTCTCCCTCTCCCGCTCCCTCTCCCTCTCCCTCTCCCTCTCCCTCTCCCTCTCCCTCTCCCTCTCCCTCTCGCTCTCTCTCTCTCTCTCTCTCTCTCTCTCCCCCTCCCTCTGTCTCTCCGTCCCCCTTTCTCTGTCGGTCTTTCCTTCTGCTTGCAAGTCTGCCTCCTGCCTGCCTGTGTCTCCAACTCCCTATGTCTCAGATACCGGTTTGCGTAGATTAGCATGCCATCAGAATAAGAGCACCTGGGAAGAGCAGAACCTTTTCCCGAATGCATCTACCTAAACATGTACATATGTGTATGTGTGTGTGTGTGTACATGTATGTATATATCATATACATACGTATATGCATACATGTACACATTTGTGTATGTAAATTTTTATATACATACATACGCATACATATGCATGTGCCGGTTGGCATCGGTGCACAGTCTGGCCTGTACATTCATGAATGATGTATACACATGTTTACACGTAGACATGTGAAGGTGATACCACGTCAGGTACCTTGGACTTGCGTTTGTAGCCATCCACTTATGCGTCCGAGTTCGAGCTGCGCGTGGCTCGTGACTGCGGAATCGAGGAACCCCGAGCTTAACCTAAGCCCCTAAAGCCTTGGAAAAAATTCGGACTTTGAGGCTCCAGCCAGCTGATAAACCCCGCGGGCACCTGGAGCCCCGAACCGCTCACCCCAGAGGCCTCAACTTGCAAATCGAAGGAGCCCATGACATAAGTAATCATGCCTCCCAATGCGAGCTCATCCGGGTCCCCCGACATCATGGGGCTCAGCTTAGTCTTCGGCAATCGAACCTTGTGAAACTTGATTGGTCCGACCTGGGAGAGAAAGCACGAAAGCCTAAACGCCAAACCTAAACCGAAAACCCTAAAGCCTAAAGCCTCCCTCAACCCTAAGAAACCTAAACCCTAGACCTAAACCGAAAAAGTGGGTTCGGGGCCCGGGGTGTGTAGTTTCGCCGGGAAGAGACCGAAGAGTAACGGCAGACGATTTCAGAGCGTAGGAGCTCTCGAGCAAGAAGGGGCCTTAATAAGTAGACTAGGGTTCCTGTAAGGGTTCTAACGGGATCTATAAGGGATCTATAGGGTTTAGGGTTTAGGATCGGGGCCCAAAACAAAGGGATACTATCAGGGTATCATAAGGGATATGCTAAGGGTTCCTTTCAAAGGGGTCTATGAGGATTACTTTAAGGGTGTATTTTGGGTGTTTAGGATCGGGGCCTTAGTAATTGGAAGAGGGCTTTTGGTTTTGGGGCCCACTATACTATAAGTATCATAACCCAGAGACTCCAATATCCCTCAATTACGGAACATACCTCAAAACATATTAGCGGTCCTACTATAATTTAGGGAACATTCCTTAATTACGGGATATTGGAGTCTCTAGGTCTCGGGCACGTGGGGCTCATGGTCGCTTGAGGTTTGGGGTCTGCGAGGCTCCGGAAACAGAATCTCCGTTTCCCAGCTGGGCTTCTTACCTGAATGATTGCCATAATGCTATGGGAGATCGTACAGGAAAATGTAACACAGCATAATATGGTAAAGTTTTACATAACATGCTCGACCACAAACATACACATGATGGAGAATGGCGTGCCAGAGATTCTAACAAAAAGTAGCATGTTGCAACAGAAACATGACATAACACAACATAACACAACATAACCCAAAATAATACAACATGATTGAAACCATGTAACATGACATAACATGACATACTGCAATTCTCAAGCGGAACCCGGGAGGGGGCCCCGGCGAGATCGAAAAGGTGCGCGCGGGCAGCGCGAGCGCCGCCCCCCATTGCAGCGGCTTGGCCAAGCCCGGGGAGCTTTGTAGGGTGCCCTTATAGGAACCCCTAAAGGGCTCCCTTCAAAGGATTCCTCAAAAGGATCCCTTCAAGGGTGCGCTTCGAGGATTCCTTGAAAGTGTGCTTTCAAAGGGGCGGAAAAGAAGTATAGGGCGGCCAGCAAGGTTCCTATAAGGGCCAGTGTAAGGGTTGCTATAAGGTTTATATACTCTCAGGGTTTTACTATGAGGGTTGCTATAGGGGTAGTATAAGGGGGATCCCGGGTTTAGCATACGGTTCCAGGAACCCTACTACGGAATGGCTTCCGCAGAGGCTGGAGGATTCAGGGCTTTCGTCCCTCTTTGAAACTGCTATGACGGTTCAGAACTCACTGCGAGGCGGCAACATGCGGCAATGAAAGCATCTACACGTTTGCAGGGTTTACTTGGAGGTTCATGGGTAGTTATAAGTGGGGTTATAAGTCCCTAATCTGGGATATAAGTATAGTTACCCTAATTACTTGTAACCCTACTTATAGCTGCCCATGAACCTCCAAGTAGAGTGCAGGGGCCTCATGCGAACCACCGGACATATCAGAGCTAGCTGAGGACGACAAGGTCACAAAATCAGGTGCGGAAAGCAGAACTAGTAATTCACAGGAGTAGATGTTCGCAACATTTCTCGATGCTCGAAGTTTCACAAAGTCTGGCCAGCGAGTGGCGCAGTGCTGCAAACTTCATGCATTTATGCAATGATTCACGTCTCCGTCTTCGTACGTGGCATTCTTGGCGGCCACTGCGTCTTCCACAGCACGGCAAGCCTCGGGGCCGGCCCGGCACTTGCTGCAGAACCTAGATCATTGTTGGGATCGGATTAAAAATTTACATTTTTATTCCTTACTGGGTTTAAGTACCCATAAAAATGTAAAATGTTACCCAACTATGACAAAGGAACCACTGCAGGCACGGCATCGAAGCGTTGCGGATGTCTGCGGCCACGGTCCGAGCATCACTCGCGGTTTGGAGCACTCCTGCTATGTGCAGTCGATGGACACAAACAGGCATGAGCAGCCTGAAGTGCTCGGCGCGGAAGGGAGGCTCTGTTGGCCCTGGCCCATACATGTCCACCTTGTCCAAGTCCTGCCAGAAATCTTCGTAAGCAGCTGTAACATACTAGCCTAGCATGGCAATCAGCCCTCACTAGCAAAGACGGCCCAACGAAAGCGAGTGCTCAACCCGCCTGCGTCAGGACTCCCGCCATGGCTTTGAGTTCTGCAGGTCCCAAGGCCCAGCCACGAAAGTAAAGCTCCTTGAGATGTACGAAGGCCTGGTTGAAGCCGGAATGCCACTGGAAGTGCCTTGCGAATCTTGTGTTGTAGCTGGTCAGGTACAATGCTTTCAAGCCGGGCATGTGAGCAACTGCTTGCGCCGCATCGCCCAAAGCCGCTGTGCTGTGCAGGTCGAGCGACAGGGAAGAAACTGCAGACAGCGCATCATCAAAGTTTGAGAGGAAGTCGCCCATGACCTGGCAGGAGAGGTCCCGGGAAAGTTGGAAACTTGACCCCAACTAGCAGGCAACGGTGCCGATCCCGTCCTGAGGATTGGTGGTGTACCGCTCCTCAATCCCTACTTTTGCCAGCGTCTCGATCCATCTGGCTTCGCCGTCAGTCAGATTGCGCCCGAACTCCCCCAAGCCGGTCAGCCAAGCAACGCACCAGGAAGGATCGTCCTCGTGCTGAGAGGTTGCCTGCAGATGGGTGACACGAAGCCTACGAAAGGAGAAATCAACCTCCTTTCCCAAAACCCCGGTGCGGAGTGTGCTGCAGAGAGAGAGTCTGGTCCAAAGGCAGGAACGAAGGAGAATGGCAAAAGCCCTGCGAGCCTCCCATACTGCTCTGGCCAGCAGCGGTTTGTTTTTATCTGGGCGGTCGGATTCCAAGTACTCTGGCTGCAGCGACTGGACCACGGCGCGGACCAGCTCGAGATTTCCCGTTGACAGCGCAAGTTGCAGCCACTCAATGTCAGGAGGATCCGTGGCATTGAAAACTTGCTGCGCGATCTGACGGATCTGTCGAAGCCCTGGGAGATCCTGAGCTTCCAGGCGAACTGCCTCAGCAAACCACTCACTAAGGCTGAAGTGTTTCAGGTTCTGGAAGTAGTCGGAGTAGATGTCGGGAGTGAGCTTCCCCGCATTGTAGTCCCAAGCAGGTATAGCCAGGCTGACATCACACCACTTCTGCAGGCATGCCATGAGTTTCAATGCATTTGGGCTGGCCGACAGAATCTGCTGCAGGTGCCACGAGTCTGAAGGAAGGCCAGGGCACTTTTTCTGCGACTGTCGGCAGGCTTGCAAGGCAATGCAAGTGGCATCAGTAGAGGTAAACACCATTACGCCCAGCTCGTGTTGCAGCTTGTGAGAGAAAAGGTCGCACCCGAGATGCTCTGCGGCCCAAGCAAGTGGAGAGTCAACACCAGAGAACTCCGCCTTCACCTTCCGAGTTCTTGTTAAGGAACCGAAGTTAAGCTACCAGAATAAGGCATGTACAGCACATAAAAGGTTTCCATACTATAGTAGCTCCTTTAAGTTCCGTAACAAGAACCCAGCCTTGTGGTTCTCCATGGAGCCCCAGTTGCGATCATTGCTCTGTGCAGACACGGTCTCTGACTTCAACTCCACTACGAAGGTGATATCTGCATCCCCAAAGACTGGCGAAATTCTCCGTCTCAGGAAAGTCGCGTTCCAATCGCCAGTTCCTCCATCCTTTCGACAGGCCTGATAGCGTTGGAGCAGGATCTCACTCTCTTGGCATTGCCTGAAGTGTGGTAGCAGCTCTGGTGCATGGTTGACAGCTTCGGCCTCCTGCTGCAGAAACCTCACCTGGAAGTTTCTATCTGGAAGGATGGGGACGATGACCAACTCCAGCGAGGACATGTTTGTCACGTTGTACTCAGAAATCTGGAGGGAAATATCGCCCGTCTCCCCAACCCTACCAAAGGCAGGAATCTCTACACGATCATTCTTGCGAGTGATCGCAGTGAGGCTCACCAAGACATCGATTGCCTGCGGCCGGCCGCGTCGCAGGGCTATGTCTTGGCGCACAATGGGTAAATCCTGCCACGAGGCCTGCATAACCAACCTTGGTGGTTGTCAAAATTAGGGTCCCTTTTTGGGTCCCTATTAAAATACGGCACCTATTATTTAGGGTACCCAAACAGGGACCATACTTTTGACAACTACCAACCTGAACTCGAGGTTTGCCATGACCTCTCCACGCCAGCCCGGCTCAACCAAGCCGAACTGAGCCAAGTGCCGTTGCACTGACACTGGCGGCCCACATGCGGAACCATCCTCGGAAGATGTGCAGCCATGCAGCGAAGCTGCGAAGGGACCATGCGACTGCAACCGATCGTGATCTGGAATCTCGCAGCTTTGCTCATGGAGCTCGTAGTCATGATGGGCGAAGAAGCAGCCAACGTGGCCCCGAAATGCATGCAAGCAATGGGGGGAGCCGAGACACCGGCTCTTGCAAGAAGAGTTCGTTGCTGGAGCAAACTCTGTCCAGGTTAACTCAAAGCCAGTCCGAGCCCCCTGTCCATGTTCCAGAGGAATCCCAACCGTGTAGTCTGTGAAAAGAAACGCTACCCTCAGCTTGCCAACATCCATCGGGATGGAAAGCTGGCTCCCCGGAAGTGCACTGAAAGCGAAGCAATGTAGTATGGAGCCTTGTGCATCGGCAATCAGCAACTTCTGAGGCAACATCTGTTTCGGTGCGAAGCGCACTGAGTAAATAGTGCTCGGAAGACTTGGCCGGAGACCGAAGACTTCAACCTCTGTGATGCGTGGAATTGTCATGTTGTGCAGCTCCACAAGTGCACTTGCGGAGAGGCTGGACCCTCCCTCTTGGCCAGGACGGATCCGAATGTCGCGGGCAAGGTATTCAGTCCCGTTCGCTTGGAGAACGACCTGCTTGAAAGAAGCGTCCAAAGCCAGAGTGTAGCGGTCCTGCGACGGCATGAAGACCAGGGCGTGGCGCATGCCAGCAAGCTGTAAGCCGGCAAGCTCCCCCAAAGAGCACGAATACATTGACATGTGAACGCCTGTCGCTCCGACAGCCAAGGCCATCGCGGCAACGAAGCTGGGGAGAACCAGAAAACCTGCGTAGGATCCAGCCAGGCGCCTCACAGCCGCACGCTGCCAAGTGAGATCTCCAAGGAAGCTCAGCTCCCCCTCACTCCTTCCCAGCTCCTCCGTGTCGGAGAAGGGCCCCCCCAGGACCTGGCCTTGGCGACCAGCTCGGACCAAGTTCGACCATGTGCTGAAAGTCCATCCTTCCACTGTAACGGAACCTTCATTCTGCTTGGCAGTCGTCCGCTTCTCTGCAAGGTCACGGGGCTCCATCTTCAGCTGCGTGGATTCCACCTCCATCTGCACTGTACTTTGCATGACCTTCAACAAGCTCATGATGGGAGACATCATCGCGGAGATCACCAGCATACCTGCAGCAACGGCCTGCGCAATGGATATCGTGCTGGACATAATTAGACACACCACCAGGCTTGTGTACAGAGCCACACCAACTAGGAGAGCCGCATCATACCATGAGGACATAGGCGGCTGCTGAATCCAAACCCTTCTGGCCAAGGAAGCTTGCAGCAGCTGCACTTTGCAAAGGACCTGGAAAATCCGGTAAACTCCAAACACGCTGAGGGCGAAGGCAAGGCCAATCAGAAGCCACACAAGTTCCTCAGGTGTGTTGGATGTCACCACCTTCGCAACCGCCAGCGTCTGGATGCTGATGATCGCAGCTACAAACCTTCAGCAAGCCAAGCAAGCGATCAAGCAGCACAGTGCAAAGTATACTTGGGTGTCATATGCATTTTGTACCTGACTTCTTTCAGTCGTAAGAAACCGTGTTCTTCTTAGGGAACTTGATTTAAGCTACTACAGTCGGGATCTATGGTCCACAGTATGGTTTCCTTGTTGTGGTACCTGGTAGCGTACATTGATGTCCTTAACTTACCTTTGGTTAGCAGTTAGCAGGGAATGGAAGACTGGTAGTAATAGTAGTTGTAATTGTACCCCATTCCTCCATTCCCTTCCAACCAAAGGTAACTTAACAAGAATCCCCAGAAAAGACAAGAGTGAGCAGACGAAGCCTCGCCACTCTAAATCCGACGCAGATACATTCCTTCCCCTAGTATGGGCGCTTAACCCTGGGATCCTTATATATGGGAGTTTCCGAAAATAGGGGAACCTAATACAGTACCCTAAACAATAGGATCCTTATTATAAGGACCCCCACATAAGGTACCCCTAATTTTCGGAAACTCCTATATACCTACTATATACCCTATATAGACTCTTAAGGGTCCCCAGACCATTAGGGGTTAGGGTTTAGGGGTTTAGGGATTAGGGTTTGGAGTTTTAGGGTTTAGGGGTTATGTAGGGTTTAGGGTTTAGGGGTTAGGGTTTAGGGTTTATCTGAAAGCTTGTGCTAAAAAGAAACTTTGATAACCCTCCTCCCGGCAGTTGGTGCCAAGAGAACCGAACTGGGCCTTGAGAGAAGAAGACCCTCACGCACTACTTCCACAACTGGCTTAGGGCTTAGAGCTAATTTAGGGCTTTAGGAACGTTGGAGCGACCTTTACTAGCGGTGTAACGGACTACGCATTCCTACGAGAACCGTCTTCGAGTAACTGCGGCCGAGCATATTATTCCGGCCAAGGCACCCGAGGGCGGAGGTGACCCCAGATTTCAGCGTTGAAATAGATGCAGAGACCACGACTGCAACATCCTTCAGCAGGAAGGGGCAAGCGAAAACATGATGCCATCATTGCAATACTTGTATGGTGACAAGGCTCACAAACTAGAGGAGGTTCAGCCACCTAGCCTGACAAAGACCCTGACCCACCAACTAGGCTCAGGCACCTTGCAACTCCAGAACCCTCGGCTCAGGCACACCTCAACCTCCCTAACCTGAGAAGTGATGAGGCTTCGAAGGCGATGCTTCACTGGGGTCATGATGCCCAGCTCGCACCAAAAAGCCGAAGCAAAGGAGCCGAAGGAGCGAAACCTCTTAGGGTTTAGGGTTTAGGGGGAACCCTGCCGCACAGCCGTGACAGACCAGAGCTCCTCTTTCTGCCGAGGCCTCCGCAATTTCTAGCACCTCCGAAATCCTCAAACAAAATCCACGTTACTATTACTGATACTAATATTACTAAGATTGCTAATAGTAATACTAATATTACTACTGTTGTTACTGATTCTTACGATCATTACTATTTCTGCTATTATTGCTATTATTACGATTATTACTCTTATTACTACGTATTACCTAAGCCCTTATAGATGGTCCTTGTCCTGGTCGGACTGCTCACAGGACTCCTCACGAGGCTCTCGCCAGGCTGCCCAACAGGACTCGACGACGACCACCTGAGACGTCTCGGTTTAAGGTTTAGGGTTTGGGGTTTAAAGGAGCCTCTGGTAATCTCAAGGCTTGTGGTACTTAAGGTGGTTGAGTCTCGGTTTAAGGTTTAGGGTTTAGGGTTTAGAGGGGCCTCTGGTAATCTCAAGGCTTGGGGTGGTTGAAGAGGGGTTGCTGCGTCCTGCTTTGGTAAGTACGAAGTCGCGCATCCTTCTGAACGGGTCCAGCATGCACGCTTCTAACCTCTTCTAACACCGACAGGGAGGAGGAGGAGTAGGAGGAGGAGGAGGAGGAGTAGGAGATGTTATGACGTTGGCATACCTTGGCGTTTCATGCCTGCCCTCCAGAAGACCTGCAGCTGCTACAGTATGGCGAACATGGATACCAGTACGACAAACTCAGCCTGAGTGTGTCTTTGGAGAAATGCGGCGTTTTGCCGCTCTCAACCCGAAATGTGAAGCCAGCGGACCAGCCAGCTCAGCACCAAGGTCACAAGGACCAGTGCCAGCACGTCAGGAATCCATGTAGCTGGGCACCTCACAGGCACCGTGGCGTGTAAACCCTCATGTTCAAGTAGCGGTACTCGTACTTGCAACCGAGCTGGCAGCCCTCCTACGTTGGAAACAAGGCCAGGCACCTTCTGTCCAGCGCAACCAGCACCTCCGCAGTTGTCGCAGTTAAGGTTCGATTGCATTGGCATCTGCAAGTTACACAACACCAATCTTTCAGCAATGATTTCCCTAAACCCTAATCTTTCGGTCATGACGTCTCTGACGATACCGGGCGGTGGTGGGGCTTTGGGCCGTGGTTTTGGGTTCCCAGAAAGCCCAATACCCCTTCATTAAGGAATATAGCTTAAATCACAATATGAAGCCCCTAATGATTTAAGGTATATTCCTTAATTAAGGTGTATTGGGCTCTCTGGGTTACTGTAAGGTTAAGAAGCTTCAGTCGTCAAAACGGTTTAAACGGCTGCCACCGTTCAACCCCCCGAAAATAGTCGGGACCTTGCGGACGCTGGGGGTCCCTAAGAGAAGACGACCTTCGGACTTCAATGGTACCGGAGCTTAGGGTTTAGGGTTGGTTCAGGGGTTCCGGGTTAGGGTTTCCATGACACATGGATTGTGTTTTTGTGCCCCTGGAGTTTCGTGATGGAGTGGTTGCTGCCTTTGTTGCTCGGGGTCTCTGTCTTTTTGCTTCCTCAAAGTCTTCCCTGATCTCCCCGACCTCTCATGATAACTAACGGTTTTTGCATTATGCTGGCAGCATGTCTGGATTGTGCGAATCAAGGGTTTGGGCATCTCTCAGTTGAAGGTACCCTAAACCCTCAACCCCAAACACCCTAAAGCACTCTGTGGCCTCTGCCACACTCGTGAAACGATGCAAAGGCCGTGTGATGTAGAGGAGGAGCCAACTGCCTCCACCGGACGGGCTTTTACCTACCACTGACCTTTGGTTAGTAGGGAATGGAGGAATGGGGTACAATTATAAGTACTATTACCACCATTCTTCCATTCCCTACTAACCAAAGGTAAGACTAGGTACGGGGGCAACGATCGCCGTAGAAGCCCCTAGAGCACTCTGCAGTCCCTTATCTGACTAAAAGCTTTGGTGTCTAAGATATGCAATAGAGGGGCCTTAATAATTAGAATAGGGTTTTGGGCCCCTTTTGCTCTACTTATATTAAGGAACCCCCAAAAATAGTATTAGTAATTATTTAGGCCGCTACAATAAACGCTTTGGGATCTAAGATATCCAAAGGAATTGGCTCCAAGCAGCGGGTCTGCGGGGAGAGCTCCAGTTCACAAAGGCAAGATTTGCGTGAGTGAGCTGCGTCTTTGGCAAGATCCCCCGTGCAGACGTAGCCGGACTTCTGACCTGGGTCTGTAGCCAGAGAGCCCAATACCCCTTAATTGAGGAATATACCTGAAATCATGAGGGGCTTCATATTATGATTTAAGCTATATTCCTTAATTAAGGGGTATTGGGCTCTCTGGGTAGCGGGGGCTCGAGCGCTGTCCTACGAATTCGAAGCGGTGGGATCCTGTTGCAGACAGAAAGGCTCAATTCTAAATTGTCCCAGGGTTCCTTACTTGCAACTAGAGTATCAGATACCCCCCAAAACCCCATGTAGGTCGTTGTCAAAATTATGATCCCTTTTTGGGTCCCTATTATAATACGGCACCCCGCATTTAAGGCACCCAAAAGAGGGACCCCAATTTTGACAACCACCCATGTGGTAACTCTATCCAAGCAACGGCTGAGCCAGGCTAGCGAGCGGGCTGGGTCTATGAAAATGTCGAGACTGGAGCGCTCCATCGGCTCGTCGCGATCCACCCAAGGAACGGCCTGCAAGAAGCTAAGGAGGACTCCTTTTTTCCCCTAATTCTAGGAAGAGACCTTAAATTATAGCAGGACCCCTAATATGATTTTAAGGTCTATTCCCTAATTGAGGCATATTGGAGTCTGTGGAAGCTAAGGAGGACAGGTTTCACTTCAGAAAACCGGCCTTCACTTGAAACATCCCCAGAGCCAGAAACTTGAGACGCCCTTGTAGTGTGTGGCCTGAATAACTAGTGATACTTGTCCCTTATCTTCCCTGTACGGTTTCTAACATGATACATCGCAAAATCCTTCTGAAACTCTTAAGACTTCTACACTAACCCTCGTACCTCTTACAACTGTTAAGGCCCCTATATTACAACTTGAAGATTCAGGCCTCTGCATCCACAATGAACTCATCATCCGAGCAGCTGGCGCTCGAGTGCACACTGACTGTCGTTCCCTCCTCCGACGACTTGGAGGTTCAGGGGTAGTCTAAGCAGGGTTAGAAGTAGGGTAACTATGCATCTAACCCATATTAGCCTGTTTATAACTACCCATGAACCTCCAAGGAAGACAGTTCATTGAGGCTCAAAGAAACTTTGCAGTACCCCCTTCCCCGCAAGGGAACCCTCTTCAAACTCCCTGTTCTATACTTCTCATCAGCCCAAGACTCATTGCAAAAAGTCTGGAAGCCCGCAACTTTTATGTGCAGCATCGGCAGGGACGAATTTCTGAACCAATCCACACAAGCTTGAAACGACTATCAAGGATGGGCTGTGCGGGGAAGCGTTCAGCATGTGGTGTTGGGCATGCAGTGGCTGGAGTGTCCCAGGTTTTGCAAAATCAATGGGTATGCTTGCTTTGATGGTCTCCAGGCTGCAGATCCTTTAACAATGATGCTGCACTTCTTGCATAACATCATCTGCACCAGGTTCTTCAAAACAGTAGGCGTTAACTCTGGCAGCATTTGGTCCTGAAGTCTCCGTGCCACTTTCCGAGCATCCTGAGCGGAAGGACAGGCATTGTGACATGATCTCAACCCACTAGCACGTAATTGTGAACAATGCAACCTCCAAATGCCGCCTCTATCTACTGGGAGGTTCATGGGCAGTTAAGTACAGGGTTGTTGTAAGTAGGTAACTATACATATAACCCATATTCCGGGACTTATAACCCTACCTACAACTACCCATGAACCTCCAAGTAGTGCCTTGCAAGGCTTCCTTGAAGTGTACATCCATAAAGCAACACTACAGCACCCTCATCTTAATCCGGCTTCTAGAAGTAAGACTTCTTCAAGGGTTCCTTCTCATCGTAATCCTTGCTGCGCACTCAGGGCCCATGTAAGAGAGATTTTCACACGCCCTTTTCGGAGGAGTGTTTTGCTGAGAGCTCCAACGAACAACCCTAGAAAACAATATGATTTCCAAATCCGCCCACATGTCTGAATCAGCAGATCAGGGGTGGGAAGAGAAATTGTCACGACAGGTGATTTCGAAACTGTTTGGGTGAGGTTGAGGACCAGATCCTTCCAAGCATCTTCAGCCAGGAGGAAAAACCTCGCCTGATTGATGCGCATGGTTTGCTCAGGAAGAGCTCTGCGACACAGCACGTCGCAAGCACCCCCGCCAGTTCCGTGAGAAGCTGCTTCCAGAACAGGTGCATCGTCGTCCCTTTCGGACCGGACAGCTGCGCCCAGCGTGCAGAAGAGAGCTAGGCACCACAGGGCCAGGCGAGGTCGAGGCATTGGCAAGGCATGCAAACGACTATTATACGGGCCTCAATAGTCAGAATAGGGTTCCTTTAAGGCTTAGTATAAGGGATCGACGAGGGCACTATTCTTTTGGTGCCTGAATAATTGTTTAGGGTTTTGGGGCCCAATATACTATGATTATGATAAGGAACCCCCAAGATAGTATTGCTAACTACGTAGGCCCCTATAGTATGTACGAGGATTCCGAAGCTCAGCGACCATGGGATCTACCAGACCACAACAAGGCTGCGGGGAAGTCGCAGCGAAAGAATTTCAAGCAGATGGACACAAGGTCGCGCTGGCAAAGTCCCCACATGAACCCGTGAATCCGTGATCCAGGAATCTATGAAAGCGCAGCAGCAGGCTACGGGCCTGCAGCGTTCGCGCTAGACTCCGGGTAGCGTGCTCTGTTGCAGCTGCACATACCAAACAAACCCCTAACTCTTACGTCCAAGCTGCCTTTGTTCTCGCACGGGAACGACGACCGTTTGACAGGGAGCATGTATAAAAACTCACAGCTCCAAGGAAAAATGTCGCGTCTCATAAAGCTTCAAACCTACATAAACGGCGAGGGCACGCTGGTGCCGCGCCACGGGACTCACACTGCGCACTGTGACGCGTGAAGAATACATCCCACTACATCCCAGTGCGGCTTCCGTTGCATGCAAGCGCCGACACTCGTTCACAGCCGGCCAAATTTCCACGCATTGCCTGCATCACGAAGTCGGGTGCCTGCACCTCTCGAAGCACGTCTGCTGGTGAAACACCGCGCGAGTTGCGCAGATCCAGGCGTGCTCCTGCAGAAATGAAAGCCGAGGCACCTTCCCACTGCGATGATAGCAAGGCGAACAGCAGAGGTGTCGCTCCCTGTGAGTGATAACTGAACCTTGCCAGCTTCGTGCTTCTGCCAAGCCGGTGGGGAAGCTGATGCAGGAAGTTGAAGACTCCAAACCTCTTTGAGACCTCCCAGGCATTGAAGCGCTCATTGACGTCCGCCCGCAGCTGCAACAGCCGATGGACAAGCTCGGCACTGCAGCCATGGAACATGGCTGCGAAACAAAGCACAGGACCCAGCTGGAGGTCGTCACCATCAGCTGCCTGGGCCAGGAGCTCTTCCATCGCAAGGATGGAACCGTGGCTGGAAGCAGCATAAAGCGCAACCGCCCCGACAAGATTCCGTGCATGCAGCTTGCAGCCGGCATCGCATAGAAGGCGGATGCCTTCTGGGTTGTCTGCCAAGGCTGCGGTCATGAGCGGTGGCATTAAAAGGCCAGCTTGCACCCGGGCCCTTGCAGAGATCAGAGAGCGGGCCGCACTGTTGTGCTTGAAATAAACGCACAAGGCCAGCGCCGACGTCCAGGGCGGCATGCCCACCCGCCACTGGCCCTTTTGCGTCGTCCTGTTGGGGTCTGCCTTTTGGACCAGCAGACCCTGCACCACCTCTGGATCCCCGAGCAGGGCCGCATAGTGGAGGGGCGACCATCCAGCTGGGTCCACCTCCTGGATTGACTCAAAGCCATTGTGGTACATGAACTTGGCAAGGGCAAGTGGAAAAGGAGCACCCGACTCTTTGTCGGAAAAGCCGGGGATGGGCTCGAAGCAGCCCGAAGTGTAGCCCCTCAAGTACACGGACCGCAGGTTTAGCATCACGCGGTACCCAACGAAGTCCTGGGCCTTCAAGCGGATCTGGAGGATGCGTTTCAGCCCTGCCTCCAGCAGAGGCTGCAGCTGGTTGCGATCACCCGCCACCGTGAAATTTCCTTCAGGGTTGGGGCGGGGGTCTCGTTTTAACTGCTTAGACATATCGATGCTTTAAGGCAAATATGTCTAACCCGAGGCAACCCTCTGACCAATCATGCTTCAACCAAGTCATCCAGTTTACAGCTCGTAAATAAAACACGAGGCTGAATGTCCAAACCTAATATAGGGGGCTTCATAATTAAAATACGGTTTCGGGGCCAATTATACTGTAATTATAATAAGGAACCCCACAATAGTCTAGGTAATTACTAAGGCCCCAAAATTACGTTCAAGAACCAGAGCTTCAAGATGCAGAGCACTGAGGCAGCCCTCGGACCATGACTGCTTGGGCCTTTTGAACTTGTCCAGTTGGGTGGTTGTCAAAATTAGGGTCCCCTTTTTGGGTCCCGATTATAAGACGGCACCTAATATTTAGGGTGCTAGAAAAGGGACCATAATGTTGACAATTACAAAGTTATTCTGTAGGAACCTGATTAAGAAACCCTGGCCCTATAACCCCGAGAATAGTAGTATTCATATGAGGAGCCCACATAAAGGCCCAAGATTTTCTTCATCAGGTTCCTACATTATGCTTAAACCTGTGCTAAGCTTGTTCTTTCAAGATCCACAGCACTTGCACCATACACTCTAGTGGACTTTGCAGGCTGGAGCAACCGTGTATCGACCTCTTGGTAACCTAAGCCTGGGGTGCAAACGAAGGACACGTGCGCTGTTAAAAGACATGTCGACACACCTGTTGAGATGCTTCTGGCTACTCCTGCACAGGATATGTTTAGACACATGTTAAAACAAATCGGGTTACACCTGTGCAGAAACTGTTGAAAGAAGTTTTAAATGCACGTTCAAACACTTCTGATTACACCTATGCGGCCTATGCGGGAAGTGTTTAAACACGTGTATACACACCGATCCGAACATTTCTAGTTACACCTGCGCAGGACATGCTTAAACAATCTTTGAGCATATGCTTAAACACAGTTTCGAAAATTTCACTTATCGTTACACTTGTGCGGGACATGCTTAAGCACATGTTTAAACACATGGTAAAACAAATCTAGCTGCACCTGTGAGGAACTGGGTAAAAAACGAAACACATGCTTAAGCAGATTCGGGATGTGTAGCACTCAAGGAAAATCACCTATCTCAACAGCGGTTTAAAACATATGCGGACTGCGTCACTCAAGGAACAGTTTCAAGCACGTGTTTGAACGTTGGGTTAATCATATGCGGGATGTGCGGCACTCAAGGAACAGCTAGCATTGTCTTGAACATATTCGCGATGCTTCGCACTCCGGCAACAACTTAAACACATGTTCGAGCAAGGGTTTATAATGAGTTCGGGATGTGTGGCACGCAAGGAACAGTCAAAATGTGCGATTCAACGTCGGTTTAGAAATACTCGGGATGTGTGGCATGAAGGAACAATTAAGACACGCGTGCAATTATCGTTTTCAACATATTCGCCATGGCGTGGCACTAGAGTGTTTTAACATACTTAGACGCCCTTGTTCACATGTTTAAACCGTGGTTTAAATCTCTGAATACAACGACACCGTTCAGGCAAGTATTCTGGCCAAACATGTTTAGATGCGTTTTATGTCCAAAAGCACATGTGCTTATGGCGACCCTCCTTCGCCCGCTGGCTTCCCAAGCGACTCCACGGGATTCACGACCAGCTGAGCGTCCGTGTGGCTCCGGACAATGATCCAGCTCTTGTTCAGGGAGAGCTCCCGGAAGGTCCTTTCCGCACAACACCAGCCGCGTTCGGTCCAAGTTGTCGGAGTCAGTAGCTTCGACCGGTTTGTGTTCTCAATGATCGGGCACAGTGCAAGAAAGAACGAACACTTGGCCACATAAGCCGGAATACTGTCCACTGCTCTGCAAAGCTTGCTGCGCGACCTCCTCATGCGTTCAACCGAGAAACTTGTGTCCTCCTCCTGCGGACATGAGAAATAGTCATACCATACAAACAGAGGTCTCGATCGGAGCTCTGATGTCGGCAAGCCCTTAGCACCCGGCACGAGAGCTTCTGAAATGAAATCCACGGGAATCGTCTGCAGGTCGGACATCAGATGTGTCAAGATACCCTGCAAGACGGACATTTGTTTCATCTCGGGATCGGGATGATCAGCACTGAGCCACTGGTGCGATACAAAGAGTGCGTTCCCCAGACCTTCGTCGAACTCCAGGAGCCTTCCAGCGGCCATCAGCTCCTCATGCGGCCGCATCTCTCTCAGTTGCAGCAGGCTGGCCAGCGGGAGAACGTACATTGGGAACCACACGGTCGGGGCTTCCTCTGTAGCTATCTTGGTCTTTCGGAGGAGCTGGGCATAGCGCGCCATCGGGGTTGCTTCACGAGGCCCACAGCACAGCATGCTTGTGGCCGGCGCGAGACCTCGTGACCTTGCTGCCGGAACTATTTTGCAGGATGACTCTGGACAGCTGCGGGTTCCGGCATCCACCACGGGACAGTTCATCCTTCACATCCGCTAGGTCAAAAAAGAACGGCGCACGCGTTCTGCTCCAGGAAAAACCAGATTAGACCCGAAGCCTCGGCCTACAAGGCCGGAGCAAGTTTGGATACATGGGTGGTTGTCGATATCAGGGTCCCTTTTCGGGTCCCTATGTGGGTCCCTACTATAATACGGCACCTATCATTTAAGGTACCCAAAATGGAACCCCAATGTTGACAACCACCCGCATGGATGAAACAAGGGTGTTGGGCTCACTGTGTCCGAACAGAACCCTGCATCCTCAAACAGTCGCACTTGGGGCCTGAGTAACCAGAAGAGAGGACTTCGGGGCCCGCTAAAGTGTAGTGATAGAGAGTCATATAGGGGCCTTAATAATAATGAGGGTCTCTGATATAGGGGCCTTAATAATTAGAGTAGGGTTTTGGGGCCCATTGTACCATAGTTATAATAAGGAACCCCCAAAATAGTATTGGTAATGGGCGGATCATCCCTCATACCCTCATACCCTCATACTGTTGCGGTCACGCGTGGAAGGTCTTTTCCAGTTCGCGCTGCCTTCTTGGCAGCCTTTCTGCAGTCTCTGAGAGACGAGGCCCCTTTCAGGAGGGCGTCCCGCAAGAAGGGATGTGAAACGTCGGCTGTGCCCGGGGCACGAAGGTCACGGGGTTTTAGCCATCATGTTCATGGTTTGGTGTGAAAAGCTCGGCTAAAGTCTAAACCCTAAACCCTAAACCTTCAACCCTAAACCGAACCCTAAACCTTAAACCCTTAACCCTAAACCTCAGAGGTTTCAGGCTTCAGGGCTTGCTTGGAACATGAAGCGACAGCTGCCGACCGACCTAAAAGTCGTTCAAACGGCTCCTTAGAGAGGCGTTTACATGCCGGGCCAAATCTAAGGGGCAGTACAGCTCTTGGAAGCTGCAGCCCCGGGAGCAGTAAAACATTCACCACCTCATCCCGTAATCTCTTCCTCTTGCTCCTCCTGCTTTTCTGAACACTCTTCGTCCTCCAGCGGTTTAGGGTTTAGGGTTTGGAGAAACGCAAATTGCGCCCTGACTAACAATGACCAAGAAGCCCGCTTTCCTTATGCTTCCCAGCTGCTCAGTCCCCCAGTAGAATCCCAAGAAGACTGGGGAGTTGATCAATGAGGAACCCGAGTTGCCGTCTGAACAAGCAAAAACCACTTCCATTCCTTCTATGTTGCACAAGCCCCTTGCTTGAACAATGTTTACTAATAAATATCCTTGAACCACTAACAACCGGAACCCTGAACCGTCTTAACCGCGAGGTTTGACCTCCCGAATGAAGAAAGTTTTACAGCCACCCCAAAATCAAAATGCTACACTCCCAGCTTGTAGCCCCTGCACCTGGGCTCCCACTTCTCTGAGAGCATTCTCTGGAAGGTTCTTCCGAAAACGTGGATGCTTCTCAACTTCAGCGAAGGCCTGCCCATGGATCTTAGGGAAGCCTGGGGTCGGGGGACGCTGAGGCCTGAAACGTCTGAGTAGATGCGGGCCTGTGCTCCGATTTCGCCGATCCTGTTGTTCCGAAGCGAAACCACTGCGAGCGTCGGGTGTTCCATGATGGCTTCGGCGATGGCCTGCGTCCAACCGGACGGAAAACCGACGTCATTCCTTTCTGCATGCAGGTCTCTCATTGGACGCGTGTCTCCGAACCTAGCCTTCCTTTTCATTGCTACGGGTATGAGAAGCACAGGGCTCGTGAATGGACTGCAGCAACAGCGCCCTCGCCTGGGCTCCGCTGTCTCCGATTTTGTTGTCCTTGAGATACACGGACTCGAGCATTGGGAGTCCCGTGATGGCACGTGCCACAGCCTGACGTCGTCTGATAAGAACATAATGTAGGAACCTGAATTAGAAACCCTGGCCCTAATAACCCCAAAATAATTGGATTCATATAAGGCTCCTACAATATCCAGGGTCTACGGAACCCAGTGCAGTGCAAAGGGATACCAGCTACAATGGAGGTGTGCCTTTGTCAGATATACCACCTCTGCACAAGCATCGCCCAGCCTGCGTGGCAGGATCATCAAGATCCATCTCCTCCAGTTCGATGCTCCGTGCAGAGCCGAACTTGATGTTCCATGCGGCTTGGGCCACCGCTGCAACCTGCCCGTGCCCAATCACGGTGGAAGCTGGTAGCAACACAGGAAACCGTTGCTGCCTTCGAAGTCGGGCAGTCCAAGACAGTTTCCGGGAAGGAGGTGCTCTCCAGCACTGCTTCGAGAAAAGCCTGTGCAACTGCGCACGGTTGAGTCGCACCTCCCTGCATGCCTAGAATAAGCTGATAGGGCTTCTTGTAACACAATATAGGAACAGACAGGAACTATAAGAGAACACGCTTAGCAATTTGTTGTGACTTAGAGCCCGACATGTTGTGCGCGAGTGTTTGTGAGCTCTGGTGCCAAGCATGCTAAGCAGGCATACTTGGTGATGTCTACCCTCGAAACATTGGCATAATATGCACAGAAGCTGCCATAGAGAGGGGAGTGCCATGATCGGCAGAAGCCACGCTTGATCCGGTGGCTCAAGATGAGAAAAACTGTGCCGAAGCGAGGGACCTTCTGGTCCGTTGGTAGGCCGGTTGCTTTTCGGGTTCGGGGTTCCTTGTGAGGTTGGTGAGGTGAGGGTCCAGGCGGTCATCCTCTCCAGGACTTCAGAGCCCTTGCATCTCCCGTCGCCGTGCAGCTATGGAGTCTGGTGTCCAAAACTCTAGACTTTTTTAAAAACCGGGTCGAGACAAGGATTCCGATTCCTATATTTCCTCGGATTAACAGCACTCGAGCCTGTGCTCCAAGGTCGCTAATCTTGTTGTTCCGAAAGCTCCTTGAGCTTGGAGTGGTCCTTGACGGCTTCTGCGATGGCCTGATCAGAAACATGCCGACAGACAGCAAAAACAGAAGGGACCACGGAGACAGAGAGCTGCATCCCAGCCTCGGCTCCGCTGTCTCCAATCTCGTTACCCTCCAAGTACACGGCTTCCAGCCGGGGAAGTCTCTTGATGGCTTGGGCAACGGCCTTAGCAGCTCCGAGGAGCACAGAGACGCACACATCTAGAGCTCCTTTACCTTAACACCACGAGTAGTCCCCTCTCTCTCTCTCTCTCTCTCTCGAAAACGAAAAGCCCGTCCAAGTCTAGACCGGTTGTCAGCAGCCCTGTCTAGCAAGCAGGCTCCTTTCAGGGGCTACCTAGGGAACACTAGCTGCCTCAGTTGGGATCGATCAAATGAAATTGTCTGTAACGTGCAGAGCAGATCAGTGTTACCGAACCACTGCGAGTGCAGCTGGGAGATCGTTTGTCTAGAGAGTTGTTGGTAAAAAGCGTTAGAATGCTCGTAAACCCTGGGCGGCGCGCGCTGTTGAAGCAAAAACTGTCTGCGCAAATATGCTTCTGTCATGGCAAGCTCCGCCCAGTGGACGCGTGGAGCTCCAATTCTGCGCTTAGGGAGCTGTATGTAGTTACGAGTAGTCCCTAGTTCCATGAACTCCGAACCTCCACTAGCATCTCTATAAACACGCTTGGCCCGGCCTCTGCGGCGACATCATCAAGATTTTTCTGTTCCAGATCCATTCTCCAGCTACGGCCGAACTTGGTATGCCATGCAGCTTCGGCCACCAGCGCCACCTCTGTCCAGGCCGGTGTGCGCGTGCACAGTTGAAACTTGGAGCGAAGCATGAAAAGCGAACTGCCTTGGAGCTCGAGCAATCCAAGAAAGTTTTCGGGAAGGAGGTGCTCTCCAGCACTGCTTCGAGAAAAGCCTGCTCCAGCGCACAGCTACATCCTAAGCTTGCCGCCGGCCCATGTACATGCCTGCATACCTCGCACATCTCTTGCGGAATCTCTTGCAGCCTCGCCTGCGCTCCAGCATCACCCATGCCTGTTTCACGGAGGTCCAGTACAGAGAGCGCGGTGCTCGCCTTGATGGGCCAGGGCATGCAGCGAAAACCCCACGTGCCGAAGTGCGTGTCTATAATCGCAATACTAAGACTAATGACAATACTGCGTACTGCGTATGCCTATGCTGTTGCTTCACAAGTTGGGGCTAGAATCTGCAATATTCGGGGCTTCGTGCCCGAGAGTGCTGCGCAAGGCCGAGCCTGGTGGTCAATTTCCTCTCCTTCTTTGCTAGCCACCGTCTTCAGTGAAGCATTCATCCGCACCGCCTCCGCCAAGGCCTGCACTCACAACTGTCTTGAAGCAAGGCTGTTTCAAAGAAATCGGAAAAATACTGCATCATAAACCCGTCCAGTTCGCTCATGGAAGCCTGCACTGCACCGTTGCCGATCTTGTTCTTCCGAAGCGAAAGCTCCTCGAGCTTGGAGTGGTCCTTGACGGCCTCTGCGATGGCCTGACCAGCAACATGTCGCCAGACAGCAAAAGAGCGGAAGGGGACCAGAGAGACAGAGAGCTGCATCCCAGCCTTGGCTCCGCTGTCTCCAATCTCGTTCTCCTCCAAGTTCACGCGTTCCAGCCGGGGAAGTCTCTTGATGGCTTGGGCAACTGCCTCAGCAGCTCTGAGGAACACAGAGAAGCACACATCTAGAGCTCCTCTACCTTGACACTACGAGTAGTCCCCAGTTCCACGAACTCCGAACCTCCGGTAGCATCTCTGAAAACACGCTTGGCCCGGCCTCTGCGGCGACATCATCAAGATGTTTCTGTTTCAGATCCAGTCTCCAGCAACTGGTACGGCCGAACTTGGTATGCCATGCAGCTTCGACCACCAGCGCCACCTCTGTCCAGGCCGGTGTGCACGTGCACAGTTGAAATTTGCAGCGAAGCATGAAAAGCGGACTGCCTTGGAGCTCGAGCAGTCCAAGAAAGTTTCCGGGAAGGAGGTGCTCTCCAGCACTGCTTCGAGAAAAGCCTGTGCAACTGCACACAGTTGAGTCACGCCTCCGTGCATGCCTAGAATACGCTGTTGGGGCTTCTCTTCTTGTCACACAATACAGGAACAGACAGGAACTATAAGAGGATACGCTTAGCACTTATTCCGACTCCTATATTACCTCAGAGTCACATCACGCGAGCCTGTGCTCCAAGGTCGCCCATTTTGTTGTTCCGCAGCGAAAGCTCCTTGAGTTCGGAGTGGTCCTTGACGGCCTCTGCAATGGCCTGACCAGCAACATGTCGCCAGACAGCAAAAGAGCGGAAGGGGACCAGAGAGACAGAGAGCTGCATCCCAGCCTTGGCTCCGCTGTCTCCAATCGCGTTATCCTCCAAGTTCACGCGTTCCAGCCGGGGAAGTCTCTTGATGGCTTGGGCAACTGCCTCGGCAGATTTTGAGATGTCGCCGCCACTGAAATAGACGAAATCAGATTAGAACTACTCCCACCCTGATGGGTGGTTGTCAAAATTATGGTCCCTCTTCGGGTCCCGAATATAGTACGGCACCCACTATTTAGGGTACCCAAAACGGACCTTACTTTTAGACTACTACCCAAACACGCAGGCCTGTGCTCCGAGGTCGCCGATCTCGTTGTTCCGAAGCGACATTTCCTCGAGATTGTGTTGTTCCGTCGTTGCTTCCGCGATGGCCTGCAGGAGAAGCATTGGCTCCGAAGAAGAGAAAAAGAAACGTGAGACCACAATTTAAAAAAGTCTCTGAAAGAGGGAGTGAGAGGGGGCAGAAAGGTGGGGGTACGACAGTGAAACAGACTCCATCAGGCCTGATTCCGCAGTTTCTGTAGTTCCTACTTCTACTTCCACCTCCACTTCCAACTACTAGTACTACTACTGCTACCACTACTGCCACTGCTACTGCTACTGCTACTGCTACTGCTACTGCTACTGCCACCGCTACCGCTACCGCTACCGCTACTGCTACTACTACTGCTACTCCTACTCCTATTCCTACTGCTACAACTACTACAACTACTACAACAACTACTACTACAGTTACTACTACTACTACTACTACTACTACTACTACTCCTACTACTACTACTACTACTACTACTACTACTACTACTACTACTGCTGTTTCTGCTACTACTACTACTTCTACTACTACTACTACTACTACCACTACTACTACTACTACTACTACCACTACTACTACTACTACTACTACTACTACTACTACTACTACTACTACTACTACTACTACTACTACTACTACTACTACTACTACTACTACTACTACTACTACTACTACTACTACTACTACTACTACTACTACTACTACTACTACTACTACTACTACTACCTAATACTAATAAACCATGAGAACACTGCCACCACTAGTGTAATACTTGACATCCTAGCTGCGAACAGACTGTGGTGGAGGGCGAAGAAGCAGCTGCGACAGGATGATACATAATAACCAGACAAGGACATGCGAGACCTAACACTGTGCACATGATTTCTTTAGCGACGACAAGGAAGCTCGTTGTCAGCAAACGGCGTAACGGCTTGCCAAAATTCCCGCTAGCTCAGGTCTGCCTGCCTATCGGCTAGCAGTTAGACGCTCAACTCACGAATCTAAGCACCTGTCTGACTCTTAGCAGGTTCACAGGCATGTGTCGGCTGAGCAGTGAGGCCACGAAGGCGACGACTGCTTCAGCTAAGGAGAGCCCTGAACTCCTGAAACCCCAAAGGTGCCGAAGCCCGAAATCTTTAACCAGAAAGAGCCCGAGCCTGCACGTGGAGGTCACGAAACTTGCAGCTCCGGATGTCAAGCCGCTGGAGCTTTGGATGAGCCCCGATGGTTCGCGCAACGGCCTTTCGAAGAAGCACAGCGACGAAAAGCAAACTGAACAGCTTGTCGTGAAGCTCGTAACCTATAACCCGTAACCACACGGAACATTGCAGCACTGCGACTGGAACATAAAGACCTGCTGAGGCTGAGATCCCTGCTGCAGTCCTCTTACTTGCAGCTTGTCGGGTAGTTGTCAGTAGGGATATAGGATATACGTCTACCAATATGCGTCATAAGTATAGTTGCCCTACTTATAACCTGACTGATAACTACCCATGAACCTCCAAGTACTAGCAAGTATACGTCTTAAGGATTTCGAGAATCGGCATTTACAGATGCTAAACAGACATACTGCACAGGCCGCACATGCTGCTGGTATCTATGGAATTGGCAGCAACACTCCTGGAATGAGGGAACATGGTGTACTTCACTGGGAGCTACAGTGAGCCTAGCGGTAAAGCATATGGTCGCAGGGCAAGCTGGATTTGTATACGTGCTTATGCTGCTTCACAAGTGAGAAACATTGCGTGCCCCCAGCTCCAACTCCAACTGCTCAGGGCTTAGGGTTTAGGTTTGGGTTCGCGTACGCTTTGGGAGTTTCAATGTCAAACCCGCGCCCCGAGCCTCTCAGAACCACATACTCCAAGACTATACCCTCAAGCCCAAAGCCGAAACCAAACACCCCCGGCCCGAAACGCAATGGATCCTGATCCCTAAACCCTACCCAACCCCACGCCGAATATAAACACCTCACAGGCGTCAGAACAAAAGGAAACTCGGCTCCTTAGCTGCGCTGGCCGGCATTTCGATGTCCTGCCAAGGGTTCAGTGCATTCGGGATGCAGGCTTTTGCGTTTCGCATTTAGGGTTTAGCGGAGGGTGCAAATCTTGCACCCCCAATGAAGGGTTTGAGGCTTCAGAAAGGAATCCCCGGATCCGCCACTAAGAAAATCGTTTCGGTCATCATTGCCTACCGGAGTCCGACATCTCGCAGGCTGCAGCCCTGGGTTAGGGTTTGGGGTATAAAGCTTAAACGCCACAGCCCTTCCTTCTTCTGTCAAAAGGGGTTCTCATGTTGTTTCTCAGTTGTTGCGAGTTTGTCCTTGCCATCCTCATCGTTTTCCACGTCGTCTATTCGCTGAACATTGCTGCTCAGGCTGATCCCTGGCTTGTTTCTTCTTTTCCCCTTGCGAGTGCTCCACCCGATCTTCTTGCTTGTCTTCCTCGCGTTGTACTTTGTTGTGTAACTTACTGTGTTTCTGGCGTCGCTGATCCTTCTTATCTTCTGTCGTGCATTCCTCCTTTATTGTGTGCTTGACTTTCGCCACCGTGCGCTTCCTTGTTGTCTTCCTTCTCTTGGTATTTCCTTGTGTTGTTTGTTGTGTTCACCTCTTTCTTATCACTCACGTCGTTTTTTCGATTCTTAGTTTCTGTACTTTTGTGTGTTCGTCATTTTTGGTTTCCTAGATCAACTGTCGTTCATATGTTGTTCGTATGTTTGGCTCGTTTCTTGCTTGTTCCCATAGTACTCGTTCTGTTTATCCTTGTGTTTCTCGGTGTTTTCTTCCTTGGCAAAGTCGTTATTTTGCTTCTTCTTTTCTTGTTCTTGATGTTCTTTCATTTCTTCAGACAGGTGGGTCTTCATTTCTTCATAGTTCTTTCCTGATTTTGCCTTTTTATCTCAACTATGCTCCTACATCCCATCTTTAGTCTGTTGTTTCTTTTGTGTTCGTCGGAACCACAAACCAACACCTTGCCAACATTCCCTCAGCCCCCAAAGTAGAAGTCGACTGCGTTCTCTTTCGGGCATCGTGATGTCCTCGAGCACCACTCCCTCAAGAGCTGGGAGTCCGCTGACAGCACGCACCAGGGCCTGACCGAAAGGCAGTCTTCGGGGGGAATGTCGACTAAGATTTTGAGAATTTGAGGGCTAGAAGACGATACACATATGTATATATATATATATATATATACATATCTTGTTTGTGCATGTACATGTGCGGCTCGTTAGAGCAGTAATCTGGACCAACAAATTGAGCAGTCCTCGTGTCATTGAAGGCTCCAGTACATTTAGCAGAATCCCAGCCGCCCAAACACCAAATCCAAGAGTGCAATGCAGCATCCGAACCTTCGCACCGACACAAGCAAGCTTTCTCTGTCCTTGGATTTGGGAAAGACTCGACATGTCTAGGGTCAGGCCGAGGCTTTCAGGCTTTCTTTTTGGAGGTTCTCTTCCGTCAGCCTGGCTAGCCTTAAGAATTCTACATAGGAGTTGCCAGTTGGACAGGACAATATAATCCAACAGATCGACATGCAGCCCATGCCATACCAAACACAGTAGGCTTTCAGGCTATCAGGTCCAGGGATTTGGATGCAGAAAACAGCGCGGATCTCGGATCTTATCTCCGACATGGGTCCTACCGAAATAAGCTCCTAGCTGCTTCTGATGTGCACTGAAAGCTACATAGGGATTTCGGCATTTTCCTCCAGCACATGCACCAGTCGTCCAAGGCCCCTCACTTCCGAAACCCCACAACTAGCTTCAAGCCACTCATTATCTCTGTTCCGACGTAATGCCTAACGGTTAACGTTATCTATCGCCTCAGCAGAATTAAACTTTCATACGCCGTTCAGAACCCTAGCCGATACTAGACCTGTAGGAGCCCCTTGACTGAAACACTCCCACTCTAAACCTGGAACCCTGAAACCTAAACACCCCAGGCCATAAACCCTAAACCTCAAAATACTGAACTCCAAGCTGGTCAACTCCAACCCCGAACGCCAAAATGCAACCGAAGTCCCAAATTGGCAACCCTTAAATATTTAAAAATCACAACAAACCTTTTGAAGCCCTGCACAAGACCCTATGCCAAGACTTCAAGAATACCCTGACAGAGGCCTGTTGTTCAAAAGTCCCTTCTAAAATTAAAACCTATGCAAACCGGAAGACACATAAACCTAAAAAACTATGCAAACATCCTATTAAGACTCTTGCTACAACCCAAACAAACTGGAACACCACTTCTGGAAATTATAGAAATTATACAAGTATCGAAAGTATAGACATAGATCCCAAGAGTCGGAGGTTGAGCCAGCAACCGTAGCACTTGACCTCCGAGACGGCATGGACCACTGGCACCACCTGTGCTTCAGGGGCTCGAGTTTAGGGCTTTAGGATTTAGCTTGAGGGTTTAGGGCTAGGGGTTGATTTTTTTAATTTAGCTCCTTTCTCCACCTGCAGTATCCTGTGCTACAAAGGGTTTGGGGCTTAGGGCGTTTTGTTAATTGCAGGGTTTCGGGTCTGGGTTTAGCGGCGAGGGCTTCTGTGCGAGCTACAAGGGTCTGATGAGGGTCCTTTACACGTTCTATATGGGGTTCTACAGGACCAAGGGTCTTATGAGGGCTCTATGCCGGTCTTAGGAGAGTTCTACAACACCTTTGTAACGGTCATAAAAAGGTTTTTGAGAGATTCGAACAAGGGCTCTCTGATGGAACAAGGCACCCTGGGGATGCAGGCTGTTAGGGTTTAGAGAGTTTTCTGGTTTCGTCGGTGTTCAGGGGTTTGGGAAATTAGGTAAAGGGTTAAGGCTGCAGGCTCTAAGGTTCAGGGTTTAGAGTTGGTGCGTTGGTACAATACTCCAACTTGACATCATGACCTTTGCTCTACATCTTGAACTCTAAACTCAGCCGTCTTCCTTAAAAGCAACCTAAACCCCAGAGCCATAAACCCCCAACCCAAAAAATGTCCATAAACCCCGTGTAGCACTGACAGATCCCTCATTTCAACTCAGGATCCTGATCCCCCAACACCAAGCCCATGCCCTTTCATCCCAAGCAATGTTTCCTGAAGCCATGCTCCGTTGAAGTGTCTTGGGTTTGTCAGGGCTTGTCAAGTGCTTTGATCGTCTTATAAGCGTTCTGCTGGGGAGTTTTACTTGCCCTGCTCTCGAGACACTACATAGCTCCGAAGAAGCGTGACTTAGCATCTTGATTGCGTTAAATGAACACTGCGACGTTTCAGAGCGAAGGACGCACGGCTTGGAGCATTAAAGCCTGGAGCTTATGATTCTAGGCTTGGGAGTTAGCTACTTAGGCTCTCAGACTCGACAACAGCTCCATCCAGCGCGAGTGTCTGATGATTTCGCCCCATCCAGGCAGATTCTCTTCAACGAAGAACATTGCAGAAGTGCTTCGAGCAGGGCCTGCGCTGCGGAGCTTTAAGCGTGTAGGGCTTATGATAGCCAGCGTTGCATGTGCTCGAGTCGGACCGTGACAACGACTATCAAACTTCTAACCGACCTCATAAGCAACGCAAGAACTGACATGTTAACAGCACACTTGTTCCTGCATGCGCTCAACATGTGCTAGACGTGTCATGGATTCCTGAAACTTGTTCGCAACAATGCGTCCAGCACAGTCACTATGACATAGTCACTGTGACGCAGCTCAGGACCTCTGTCCATCTAGACAACCGCATACCCCAGGGCAAGAATGGCCACGGATGCCACAGTTTTATCTGGCCATGCATAGTCTGATACTACTGATGATTAGGAGATGCTGGTAATCATGGAAATGCCGCGGATGCTTGTGTTGAGGATGCTCAACAGCATCATTGTCAGCATCACAAAATCATGATGTGCCTGTGTTGCCGCACATATCAGCAGTGATCCGGAAGACATCTGATCCGTACTCAGCATCTAACCTCGTCTCCAACCCAATCGGCATTACACTTCATGCTGCTGCTATGACCGCGATGATCATGCACAATCGTCATCGACTCAGTCGTAGCAGCAGTAGAACCTGCCGCAAATTCACCTCACGGCTAGTGACATTCAGGAGAACGGGGTGCACTAGCATCAGCAGTAAGCCGGGGCGCGGAAGCAACAGCACTGTCACAAATGCTCAAAGAAAGTTGTGGTGTTGAGCGATACGTGTCATCCCAAGAACAGCTGCAGCAAGCTTAGCAACAGAAGACTTTGAATTATGTGCCTTGCAGACCCATGTAAAATGCCCATCTAAAAGCAATACCCTAAACCCCAAACTCTAAACCCTAGACACTAAATTCTGAACCCTAAACCCTAAACCCTAAACTCTAAACCCTAAACCCTAAACCCTGCGAGCCTGCGCCCCTTTGTCTCCAACCCGATTGTTCTTCAGATCAGCTTCCAGGATCACTTCGCTCGTCAAAAACGCTTTGGCCAAAGCCTCCCACACTTGGAGGTTCATGGGTAGTTATAAGTGGCGATACAAGTCTCCCAATATGGGTTATAAGTATAGTTACCCTACTTGTAACCCCACTTATAACTACTCATGAGCCTCCAAGCATGCTCGGACATTTGAAGCCAATGTCGGAGGGTTAATGGTGAGAATGTGGTTTGGGTGATTTCATACTGTCGCTATAGCAAGGACTTTCCGGAGACTTGTTACACTCGTAGGCAACTGATTCTTGCCACTTCTACTTCTACTAGCGACTACTGCAACTACTGCAACTACTGCGACGACGACGACGACGACGACTACTACTACTACTACTACTTGTTCTACTGATCCACTGAGCCAGGCCACGTAATTCGAGCATCCGAACTCTGGGCGACCCACTACTCCGCCAGATGTCTAAGACGAGAAGAGTCCGGCGGGTCAAAACTTTTGTCCTCCCGATGTACTGGTAGGTATAGCATTACCCACCGTTCTTGTTCTTTGTCACTGCTCTTGGGTGTGACCACAGCATCACTCTTGGTGCTCTGCGATACACCGATACCCTCCCTTACATATTTCCGTGGCGCCGTTTCTGTGACAAGTCGAGCTTCTGCTCTTGCTGTACCAGAATATGAGTACAGCTGTAGGCATGTCGACTGATCGCTCGATATCCCCCGCCTGAGCTCCAATGTCGCCGACGCGATTGCTTGCCAACTTGAGTCGTTTCACGGAGGTGCCGAAGGCTGCTGAAGCGGCCACCACCTGCACTGCTCCACGAGCAGAGCACAAAACTGTGCTAGCCATGCTCAGCAAATGGAATGGACGTAGTGGCACCAGCACAAACATCAACAACGATGGTCAGATTCCTCAGTACCAATACTGGCAAGACGGACACATTCTGGCAATGCAGCGTTTAGATAGTGGACTAAAACAATAGCACAAATGTTGGGGTAAAAGAACTATATCAAACCGCTGCAAGACCTGATCAACCCCGGACGGAATCAATATAAAATCCATGAGACCCTTAAAACAACCAATCAACCATTACAAAACCCTGTGAAACCCTCATAAAACCCAATAAAACCTTCAAACAGTACCCCAAACCTCTAAATCCTAAGCCCTAAAACCCTCCCCTCCTTGACTCCCTGGTCGCTGATGCGGTTGCCCTGTAGCAGAAGATCTCGAAAGGAGAAGTCCTCGAGGTATTCCACAATGGCCTGGTTCAGGGCTTAGAAACAGGTTGGCTTGGGGTATCTTTCTTTTTTGTTGGCCCCTCTTCCTCCCGCCACAATGTGTTAGTTGGAATGTCTATCAGACAGAGGCTGGCTTAGGGTTTCAAGGCTTTAGGGTTCATTCAGGGTTTCGGGTTCCTTGAAAGGTTCTGTAGAGGGTTTGTTTTTCGGGTTGCTTTGAAGGGCTCTTGGGGTTCAGGGGAGTTGAGGGTTTAGGCGGCTTCGGTGCTTACGACTTCGGTTCGGGGTCGTCGGGGCTCGGAAGTTTTACTGCTCGGGCACTTGGAGGTTCATGGGTATTTACAAGTAGGGTTATAAGTCCCTTCATGTGAGTAATATGTACAGTTGCCCTACTTATAAACCGACTTATACCTACCCATGAACCAAGCAGGCTTTACGTTTTTTGTTGTTCGACCGCGTGGTTAGGAGCAGCACACCCCTTGACCAAGAGCCTGTTGGGGCAGCTGGTTTGCTACACCGGACTTAAAGAACTGCGCCCACTGTGCGCATTAAACAGCATCTGTTGCAGCAAGCACATATCGACTCCTTCATGACGGCGTCGTCGACATTCGCGTAACACAGATCCAGCGTTTGTTTGGAAGCACGTCGACGACACGTGATTGCCCACAGCGCGGCACTCACCTGCAAATGGAGGGATTGCGAACAACTGTTCAAAGGACAGCTGAAGGTACCACGGGCACCAAATCTCACGACGAGCTTCTGCAAACGGCAAGCATATCTTTTGGGGGGCACCAATACAAATAGCCACGGCGCGGTGCCAATGAAATTCAACAACAACGCTGAGGATGGTGGTGACATATTGATTACAGTGCTGGCAAGTAGAACACAACGGTCGCATAATGCAGATCGTTGCGGGAAATCAAAAATGCATGGTCGTAGTCGCAGCGATGCTGATAAAGACAATCGCTGAAAGTACAATATCCCAAGCTGTATCAGAGACATAAGCAACACACTAGGCAAAGAAGGCATCTGCTTCTGCACGCGGTTGCAAGTGCTCCACATGCAAGTTCTCTTTCTCATGCTTCTCTCACAGGAGCTTGTTAGGCAATGCGTGAGAAACTGTGAAATATCCCTAAACCCTAAACCCTAAACCCTAAACCCTAAACCCAAATCTCCGTGGGGGGTCATCGGAATATCCTGAGCGCTGCCGGATCGGGCCTTCGTGCCAGCATGTGATGTATGATTGCCATCCAAAAGTGTCTGCGTCGAGGAAGACATGCACCACGTAGCTGAGAAGAAAGCCTCGCCGTTTCATATAAACGCCATTATGCTTAGAATGGGGGGCTTTGGGGCTTCACGAATTATGCGGACCTCCGAATTCGGGCTGTAGGATTTTGGCAGCACGCAACCTCGAGGTATTGTCAACCTGCTACTCGAACGATCTGGGGCAACAACAGTTCTCCGGTACTGAAGCTACTATGGCAGTACTACCTTGAAGTCAGTGGCGATTACTGGATATCATCAACAACAAAAGCACAGCGAATCAAACTGCCAAGAACGCAATGCATTTCGTGAAGAAACAACGTTGAGCACGCACTGCTGGCGCCTTCGTGCAAATCAAATGTCACCCTAAACCCTCAACCCCAACCTAAGTATATCCTCTATGGGGGCAGGTTTTGAAAGATTCCACGCCTGTGCTGAGACGCTCGTGGGGGAATGGGACTCAGTGACCATTCGCAGCGAGTCTACAAAAGCTACTAGGGTTTCGGGCTGGGGGATCCATCTGCGCTTCCCTGATTAGGCCGCAGTTGCCACCTGAGTGGTTGTCAAAGTTATCGTCCCTTTCTGGGTCCCTAATATAATACGGCACCTACTGTTTAGGATGCCCAAAAAAGGGACCCTAATCTTGACTACCCACCTGGCCTTGGCACCCGCATCTCCAATGCGATTATCCCGCAAGTCCACCGTCCGAAGCGACTTGCTTGTCTTGGCTGCCTCTGCCAGCGCCTAGGCTCTCAGGAGTATCTTTCTCAGGATGTAGGACAAATCGATCCTATGAACAACTATCTGTTGATCAATTTTCTAGAACCTATAATATTTGCATGAGCACACAGCACGTGGAGGTTCATGGGTAGTTCTAAGTACGGTTATGCTTAAACCCATACACAGGGACCTTGTAAGCCCACTCAAAACCTACCCATGAACCTCCAAGCAGGACTTAGGTGGGGCTTCAAGCTTGGAACCCCTGGTCGTAAAGGCCCGGACCGCGGCTCCCTCGTCGCCGATGCCATTCTCTCGCAAGTCAAGAATGCGGAGCTGCTTACTCGTCTTGGCTGCAGCGGCTAAGGCCTCGGCTCACAAAGTTTAGGGTTTAGGGTCTACGGTATTCTAGTATATTTTTATGAAGGAACCTGAGGAATAATGCTACAAAGTGCTCAGGACCCGAAATTACACGAGGCCCAGCTGAGGGCAAGGCCGTGGCTCCCTCATCTCCGACGCTGTTGCCTGAAGAGTTTGGGGTTTGGGGTCTAGGGTTTAGGGTCTATGATCTAGGATAGAGGGTTCGGGGTTTAAGCTTTAGAGTTTGTTCAGCATGTGGGGTTTTTCAGGCGAAGGACTTGGGCTCAAGGCTTCGGGTCTGCGCTTCTTCGATCTTCTAGGTCGAAGGCCTCGCAAGCCAAGTGCGCGGAGCGACGTGCTCATCATCACAGCAGCTGCCAGTGCCTCCAAATTTCAGAGCTTTGGCTGTCTCGGAGGACCCTGGTCTTCTTGTTGACTGCGTCAGCTTGTCTATCTTGTCGCGGGGCTGCGGCTTAAGTGAGGCTCTACGAGGAAACCTTCCCCACACGCATGCATCATCGCCTCTGTTACTGCTGGGCGTAGTTGGAGCGCAAGAACAGGAACAAGAACAACCACAACCACAACCGCAAGCACAACCACGACCACGACCACAACCACAACCACGACGACCACGACCACAACCAGCACAAGCAGCACAGAGCCGCCCCAGCATCGATGAAGTGTCTTCTGTCACAGGTGACCAACGCTACCAATCCACAGTTGCCACACGCATACATGCATGAAAAACGTGTCAGAAAGACCGTAGTTAAAGCTAGTGTTAGTGTGGACAGACAGCTAGGCAGACGGACAGACCGACGGACCGACGGACGGACAGACAGACAGACACACAGAGACAGAGACAGCCAGACTGCTAGGCCTGCTAGGCACGCAGACAAGCGAGCAGGCGGGCAGGCAGGCGGGCAGGCAGGCAGGCAGGCAGTCGGATAGACAGATAGATATAGCCCGATAGATCTGTGCGTGTCTGCATTTGTGCATGTACATATACGCAAGTATGTTACTCCAAATGTGCGCAGAATAGCGCAGAACATGGAGCGTAACAGTGTATCGTCATCACCATCATCATCATCACTCTGAAATCATATTTTTCATTGGCACCATCCTTCTAATCCACGTCATGTTACTAGCCATGGCCACCACCACATGCATCATCCCCACCATCATCATTACCTTCATCATGATAGTCCTCTTCATTGTCGAGATCAGCATCATGACCGTCATCATCAGCATCAGACTCAGCAGTATCAGAAACCATTGTAGCAGCAGCAGGAAAAGTGGCATCGGAAATGCTCCTTCTCGCCCTCAAGCCAAAAACGCATATTCGGATGCAATGCGTGATGAAGTCCCCAACTCAGAGTACATCGCCTGCGTGCCGCAGTCACAGATACAGTTGTTGGCCAAGCCAACTTGGTAAAGCCGGCTTAGCCCTTTGGCGACATCCGCGATCTCCTGGGAAGCATTTGGGAGTTTCCGAAAAGTAGGGGACCCTTATTTTGGGGTCCTTATAATAAGGATCCTATTATTTAGGATACCATATTAGGGTTCCCTATTTTCGGAAACTCCCATTTGGGTGGGTCTGCAACTCACCTAAACTACGGTGAACTCTGACAGAATGCATCATTTTACATGCGCAGACGATGCATCGGGGTTCGGAGATTGAAGGCTGTTCTCAAGATGTGGCCTTCGCACCAGTGTCACCAATGCCACTTCCGCTCAAGGCAATGATCTTCAGCGACACGCTCCCTGCGATGGCAGCCGCGATAGCCTGCAAATGTGCATCTCGACGGCTCGGCTCGCTTTAGTCTCTAGGCCTCAGCAAAACCACGTTGAAGATTTGGCCCTGAAGTACGTTCCGCAGCAGCGCTAATCAAACCCTCAACTCAACCCCACAACCCCTCAAACCTAAACCCAAAACCCCTAAACCCTAAACCCTAAACCCTAAACCCTAAACCCTAAACCCTAAACCCTAAACCCAAAACCCCAAGCCCCTAAACCCTAAAGTCGCGAAACCCTAAAGTCGCAAAACTCGCCGCCGAGGCCGAACCCCGAAACCCAAAAGCAAGCTAGAAACAAGCTTGGGTTTTTTTTTTAAAGTGTACTGGCCCTTAAGCTTGGGGTTGAGTCTTTAGGGTTTAAGGTTTAAGGGTTAGGGTTTAGGGAAGCTCCTGAAGCATTCTGCACACAACGCCTCTCCTGAACCCAAAACCGGAGGCCTACAAGAAAACAAACATGTTTGAACCTCGCTATGCTTGTGAATTAAAGCCTGAGGGTTGCGTTCTTGCTCTGGCACTTCCCAAACCTCTGCATATCCGCAACGCACGCACGCGACAAAACCACAAGTACAATGCGGGCGATCAGGCCCAATGCTTTGTCCGTCCTTCTAGTTACATAGAGTTCTCGCCCGCGGTGTTGGATGAACGGTGCATGCAAATTGCGCTGACTCTTTGAACAACTCCAGACCTTCAACCCTGAGGCCTAAACCCACACAGATCCCTTACGAAACCACTTTAATACACTAGAAAATACTATAATATGCTATAACATACTATAATATTATATACTATCATATACTATAATATACTATAATGTAGTATAATGTACTATAAAGAAGCCCTACATCTGATCCGATGCGCGCCTCTGCTCCAGCGTCCCCAACGGGTCGGCTGTTCAGATCCAAGCAAGCGAGCCCGGGGCTGTGCTCCGCAAGCCAGGAAGCGAGCAGGAATTCCTGCAGAACGGCTTGGGGCTGCGGGTCAAGGCCCCTATATTATAGTACCCTTAATAGTATCCCTTGTAGTATATTATACTACCCTTTATAGCATCCCTTATAGTACCCCATTGAGGATTTGAAGGTTGAGGGGTCTGAGGCATCAAGTTTGGGGTTTCGGAGATAGGGTTGCTTATTGGGGGGCCATGGCGCCTCGGGGCTGGCTTTCTGAATTTAAGGATCGGAGTGAGTCCGCAGAATCGTGTGAAGCTCCGGATAGGGGTTTCGGGTTTGGAGTAGAAGGCTCAGGGTTCAGGGGAGAGTTGGCGATCAGATTTAGGGCGCTTCAGGTCTGGGGGTGGAGATTTGCGGCTCAGGGTTCGAGGTGGCCCATATTGCCGATGGCTGTCCGCTAGGGGATGTCGATCCAAGGCACAGAACTCAGAGTTCAGCGAAAACCCTAAAGGCTCGCACCTAGTAAGGCCGATGTGCCCTCGGAGAAGCTCATGGACAGTCTAGGGTTTAAGGCTTTAGGTGCTTGGTTTGGTGGTTAAGGGTTCTAGCTGAGGGTCTTGAGTTTAGTATAGGGTTCACCCGACACGATTGTAACACCGAGTGGGGCATCGGCCTGCCATACAGCATCGGTGATGTTCGCATTGGATTTCAGCAAGATCCGCTTGAAGGAGGAGCTGCTCCGGATCATCTTGGTGAAAGCCTCCGTCCAAGGGTAAAAGGAGGGACCCTTAATAAGGACCCCTAGGTATATACCCTTAATATAGCTACTATATACCCATTATATAGCCCATTATAGGGTAAGGGTCCTTATTAAGGGTCCCTCCTTTTCCCCTTTGACTCCGAGAAGCCTACATTCTTCCCACAATGGAGGATTGCACGGCACATCAAAGAAGTGGTCACGATGTAACGGAGGAGTTCTTCCTGAATTAGAATCTAATGGGTTTCCGGGACTTTGCACTCTGCGCGTCAATCTGCAAAATGGTAGCCCGGCTGCTATTGACGCCGACAGGGAAGCTACAAATGTCGAATACTTCACTAGCAGGACTGAGTGCCGGAATAATGAATAGACCTCGAAGGAAGGGCCTGACATGCGCAAAGTCTAAATACCCTAGCCCTTACTCGCACCACCCTACACCCTGATATCTTCTCCGCGAACTTTAGCTTCTTTTTCCACTTGTAGCACTCGTCTCCCGTAGTCGTGAACCCGGGACGTTACATTCCGCTTGGGCCTCAGATCAATATCTGAAAAACCAACAAAAAAGCCTCCCTCAAAACATGTCATCCTAAAAATCACGAGAAGCAAGACGAACCCTGCACAGAGTGTGAGACAACTGCAAGGAAGAAAATACAGAAGGAAAGAACTGCTCGAGACGACAACTGATGTTGTGAAGAGCCCCTAAATCCTGAATCCTGAACCTTCTCCGCCCTAGGCCCAATTGCCATTGACCACAAAAGCTGCCTCCAAACCCCAAAAACCTCAAGCCACGTACCCTAAACCTTGAACCCTAAACCCTAAACCCTAAACCTTGAACCCTAAACCCCAAAGCCATGGAGCCTCCGCCCCACCGTCTCCCACGTCGTTGCGACAGAGGCTTAGCACCCGGAGCGCAAGACTCTTTGAAGCGAGCTTCGCCAGGGCCTGAAGCAGTTTAAGCTGGAGGGTTAAGGTTAGGGCTTCCAGGCTATGAGTTTTCAGAAAAAATTACCTTACATTATGGTATATTATGTTATGCTACATCTTATTCTGAGGTACTGCAATATCCTATATTTTGTTGTTTTGCATTAGTTCGTATTATATGTAAATACTTCATATCTTATATTGTATTATACTATACTGAACGTACATACATATTGCAATGTAATACATTATACGCATACATACATACATACATACATATATATATATATGCGTATTATGTAGGTTGGTAAACTTCGGACTGAGATCTTTGATAAATCGGATAGAAGGTCTGGCAGTCTAGTAGTCTGGTGTTTCAGACCATGGGACCAAGTCTTTCGAAACTCGCGACTCTGCTGTCATAAGTCATAAGCCCGAAAAGCGGAATCATTCCCCGCAACCCCCTGCTAAGCTGAATCACCCCGATTTCGACCTCTGCCCCGGTGTCTCCGATGTGGTTGTCGTCTAGCATCACCTCCTGGAGATCCCAACAGTTCTCGGCCAGCGCCTGTGACCAAGCGCTTTGGTAACGAAGGCTTGGGGACGAGTTCTTAAACATTTGGGTTTCGCTTTTTGTTTCGGCTTTTGAGGTCAGAGATGAGGGCTTCGGGCTTTTACAGAAGCTGCCGAGGCTATTTGTGTGGTACTTCAAGCACGCAGCGCCCCAACAGCAGGATTTGCAAAGGCACACGCAGCTTGCCGCCATTCACAACATGTCAACAAACTAGCAGCAAAGGCTAGAGCTTTCCACGTGCAGAATGATCATTTGGGAGGTCTGTCCCCTAAACCCTAAACCCTAAACTGCCGAGAGCGCCGCTGACCATTTGCATGGGCGCTCGACGCTTCGACCCCGACCGAGCGTCTCGTTAACCCACTTTGGCCCTGCCCTGCCCTGACCTGCCCTGCCCGCCCTCTGCCCTGCGCTGCGCTGCTTCCTGCCCTGCCCTGCCCTGCCCACAAAATTCCGTGCAAAAATGTGCATTTCAATGGGGCCAGGTGCCAAAGTCGAGGTCCCCTCCTTGCTTTTCGTGTGGCTGCTTTAAACCCTGCGGTTGCAGAAATACAGAAAACCATAGAATGAGTTTAGGTGCTAAACCCTGAAAAGGAATAGGTTTGGTGGTTTGGCCGCCTTAAACGGCGTGGGGTGGGAGACTGCCCTGCCTGCCGCCCTGTGCCTCCCTGCCCGCTGCCCCTTTTGTGAGAGGCAAGTTGTTTGTTGGAAACGCTTGCTTTTCGTCGAGCGGCCGGCACAGGCCGCTAGGACCCACAACCCGACAGCAATCCAGTGATTTCGTGAGAAATATAGTCGTTTACGTGTCGAGCTGCGAAAGGAAGCAGAGAGCAAGAAAGCCCCCCCTTGAGGGGGGTTTGGGGGGTGAACCCTAAACCCTAATTGAGAATAGTTGGGGTGGTTGGGGCGGGACTACATGCTGATGCAAGACGCGATTAGTGGGTGTGCCCCTATTCCTAAAGTAAAAGGCGCACCCACCGCGCGCATACTGTTACACACCTTAAACCCTGAACCCTAAACCCTAAACCTTAAATCCGAAACCCTAAACCCTAAACCTTAAACCCTGAACCCTAAACCTTAAACAGTAAACCCTAAACCAGCCTGCGCTCCGACGTCCCCGATGCAGTTGCGACACAGGCTGAGGATTCGAAGCACGCTGCTCTTGGAGGCTGACTTTGCCAAAGCCTGTGCAGGGTTTACTTACCTTTGGTTAGTAGGGAATAGAAGAATGGTAGTAATGGTAGTTATAATTGTACCCCATTCCTCCATTCCTTACTAACTCAAGGTAAGTTTAGGGTTTCTACAGCAAGATGCCCACCTGGTCTCCCACGTGACATCCCGGTACCCTGATGTCGACACAGTATACGACCTTCACGCAGAAACACGTCCAAAGCCTTGAACTCTAAAACCCTCATTCCAGCTATCGCCTCAGTGCCAGCGTCTCCGATCCCGCTGCCGTCTAAGCGAATTTCAGTCAGAACTGATTTTTGCCGATCCACCATGCTCGCGAGCACCTGCCGAGCAGGATGTAACACAGGGGCCTTTAGAATTACCTAGACTATTTCGGTGGTTCGTTAGTATGTAGTTATAGTAGAATGGGCCCTAGAGCCCTATTCTAAATCTGAAATCTTAAGGCCCCTATGTTTCGATTTGAGGCTTGGTATCTTCGGACGCATTATTGAGGTTCCCACCGTACGGTTGCAGGTTTGAGGCTTACAAGGCTCAACGTTTCTACTGTAAGATTCAAACCTTCGTGTGTCTTGCGAAGGCCTTTGCTCCATGGTCGCCGATGAAATGTCCGGGCTCGCCGTCCACGCTCAAGGCAGCCAAGGTTGTACTGTGCTTGATCGCCTCTGCAAGTGTTTGGGTCTTGTGAAGGCTTAAACAACATGAAACCCATTTGCCCCTTCTACGACAGGTAGCTCACAACAACCCACGGCACCAAGGGAATCCGACCAGACCAAAGCAGAAGGCTGTACTTGAATTGGACATCGGCTGTCGAAGGCCCTGAATCCCAAGCAGACAACCCCAATTTCTGACAGAGAAGGCCCTTCACTACACTAGCTCCTTACCTGCTCATGACTACGTGTTGTTCCGACACGAGTTTTTCCCAAAACCTGCCTCCAAAAGCGTCACAGCCCCCTTGCAATGCACCACACGAAGCTCCCTCACAGAGGACGTCGACAATGCATGTGCCAGTGTCTCGGAGCAGGCCGCCTCCATTAAAGGATACGAGCAATAGAAGCTATCAATACTACAAACACGAACATGCCGGCACATGCTGGGATTTGCAAAAGCCGTCGTCTACCCCGTCGTCGCCAGATTGGTCATCGTCGTTGTCGTGGACTGTTCCTCGTTTTCCTCCCTCTCCCCCTCCCCTCCTCTCCTGCTCTGTCCTCTGTCCTCCGTCCTCTGTCCCCTGTCCTCTGTCCTCCGTCCTCCTCCCCCCTCCTCCGCGGCGACGACACGCTGATGGTGTTCACGAGCACTAGGCTCCGCCCTTGGCCACCTCCAGCTGGCAGCTTTGCAAAGTGAGGCTCCTGAATTTGGGAGATTCGGGTTTAGGGGTTTAGGGGGTTTAGGGGGCTTAGGGGGTTTAGGGGGCTTAGGGGGTTTAGGGGGTTTAGGGGGTTTAGGGGGTTTTGGGTCTAGGTGTTAGGGCCGACTTTAGGGTTTACGGTTGGGGGTTTGGGATTGTCAGGCTCCTGAGCCGAGAGAAGTCGCCCAAGGAGAGAGCCAGCATTTCAACCTCTTCGGAGGGCAGGCGGAGAACTTTCAGCCGGCATTTCTCCTTGCTCTTCGCGAAGACCTCGTCGATCCTCGCAATGACCACTTCAGTGTCACCACTGTAAGTGAATGTCAAGCCACTTTTCGCAAAGTGTGCTCGTGCAACCGCCGCAGATGGTGGGGCCCAGCCGTCATACTCTGCTGTCTCGGATCCCTCATCGATGGCGACTGTCAGCTCGGACTTCCACCGGTTGCGGGACCACTGAAGCTCAGCGAAACACCAGCCCCTCCTTCGAAAGGCTTTGAAATTTATTGGCTGTGGCTTTTAAGTGTTGGCTTTATTTACCTTTCCCGATCCCTCAACCCCGCCTCCTGTAAGGGATGGTGTTGGCTTCCAAGTCCCCAACTGGGACCGGTCTTACCGTGTCAGAGGGCTTGTCGAAGACGCAGACCTTTCAGGGGGCTCCAGGGTGTCAGAGAGAACCGGCAGACCCCTTAAATCCAAGCCTAGCAAGGGATGCTCCACTCTGCAACAGAACTGGGCAGATGCTACACTCTACAGCACTCTGTCCTCTACCACCCCATAACCGCATGAAACTCTTAGGAAACCTTTTGCGCAACGGACCCTTATCCCCAAAGAACCAAAGCAGTTCACCTCCCTGGGGCCTGCAGGCCAGTGTCAACCTGCCGGGAAGCCTCTTCCGGGTCGGTCAGCGTTTCGACCCGCCACGTTCGGGTCAGCGAGTGGGAGTAGAACACCTGGAGACCATTCCACATCGTCTCAGGGTTTTACGTACACGTACAGGGTTATGAAACTCTTTTGTGCACAGAATGGAAACCCTGCAAAATCGCCGGTTTCATCGTGAATCTACCATCTGGATTTTCATTTGGGTTCTCAATTGGTTCGTTTGTTTATTACTGCTTTTGCATTTCACCATTGTCTATGAGTTCGTCGCCGCATATTCCGGAAATACTGTTCTTTCGAAGATGCACGGTTTTGATCAGTTTCATCATGATTCATCCAGTTTCAATACTTCCCGGGCGCTGACTCTTCTCCGGCCCCACCACGAACCAGCTGTTCCGGAATTCTTGGTTTTACATAGCCTTTTACCATGTGATGGGATTTGTTGCGTCATTCTTTCTCATGTCCTGGCCGTTTCTCGGAAGTGTAGGCTTAAATGAATCCTGCATAAAGGCATAAAGGTTTATGACCCTTTAGAGCAAGCGAAGTTTGGAATTGAACAGCCCTCACCTGGATATTGCCGAGCGCTTGCCGGAAGCCAACTTCTTGCAGATAGAAACGGCGATACTGGTTGAGGCTCAGGTAATCAATAAAGAAGAAGTACTCATTCGAAGGAAACCCCCTCCATTTGAAGATCTTCATCACCTGATTGACGTCTCTCGTTGCATCTGGCGGCGGGTTCCTGTCCATCCAGCTCACGATCGCCTTCAACTGGTGACGGTATGGATCAGGATGCTGTTTGGACTCCCAGACATGGGAGACCGCCACTATCAACGGCTGCGCGCGCATTTGCTCAATGTCAGCTGCATCCCATGTTTTCAGACACTGGAGGAGCACGGTGCTGTCCAGGAAAATAGACCCTTTGCCTAGCCTGGCTTCCTCTTCCTCAGCCTCCTGCCTCCGGGGCCATGGGCGACCCTGCTGCCAGAGCTTCCGAAGGTACGAGCCACGAACCAAGCGGGCATGGCCCTCCCCCAGCGACCTCCGCAGCTCCTCTATATCTGTCTGGTCGTCCTGGTCGAGACGCTACCCAGACCGCTTGGGAGCTGTAAACCCTAAACTCTCAGCCCTCAGCCCTAAACCCCAAACTAAATCCCAAACTCCGCACTGAACCTCTAAAGCCCAAATACCCAAAAGCCTATACTGTAAAAGCCTTAAAGCCCTACCGACCTAAATCCCGGAAAGCCCTAAATCCGCAAACCTTCATATCAAAAACTGCATGCTGCACACTCCACCAGCCTCGAACATTTCCTGCGCCTGCTGGAGGAGGATCGGCCTCGCAAGACCCTTAGCCCTTCCAACTTGGAATAGCCTATCTTTGGTTAGTAGGGAATGGAAGAATGGTAGTAAAAGTAATTATAATTGTACCCCATTCCTCCATTTTCTACTGACCAAAGGTAAGATAGGATTCGTGTTTTTGAACTCCTTCTCTGCGAGGCATACTGTCTACAGCTTAGGGTTTAGGGTTCAGGATTTAGGATTTAGGGTTTAGGATTTAGGATTTAGGGTTTGGGGTTGCTGTACATCGAGAGTTTAGGGTTGAGACTGGTATACGGTTGTAGGGCTGTTTTTTGAGCGTCTGCTGTCGCCTTAGATGGTGTAGGCTTTGAGGTGCAGGATTTCGGGCCAGCACTAAGGGATCAGGCAACGGCAGTTGTTTTCTTCGTCAGCTTGCACTCTGGTCTGGCATGAGAGGTCGGGGTACTTTTGGGGCCTTCATGATTGGAATAGGGTTCTGGGGTATATTACAGTGTTATGGTATATGTATAGCAAGGAGCCCTAGGAATACTACCGCTAAAAATGTAGGCTTCTATACTATCAATCGAGGATTTGGCCGGCAAGCATGTGGACTGAGCATTTAGATCAGCACTTATGTCAGGCGGCCTTGGCGTCCCTTGCGTCCTGTCTTCCAGGCTGACTGGGCGAAGAGGGTATCGCTGCTCGATCTTCACCAGCTTCCGCACTCTGACTTTTTTCTCATCGTTTGGTGTCTCCTCGGACGCTTCATCTTCACGATCTACCTCCGCTGTCTTCGCAGTTTTCCGCAGAGGATACCGCTGCTTGACTTTCAATGCCAACCTCCGGAAAGACAGCAACTATGGCCGTCATCATTCACGTCATGGCTTGCTACGAAACCGCTATTCGCTGCTAGAAGGACCCAACAGAACCACAAGCAAAGGAAAAACAAAAAAACGTGCCTATTGCGCGGCTTATGCTCCTTCTCAACTTGCTGCGACTTCTGGTTGTCGCTGCTTTCAGGATCCGCACATGCCGTCTTCGCAGTCTTCCGCAGAGGATACCGCTGCTCGACTTTCCATGCCAACCTCCGGAACAGAAGATGCACGGTAACAGCTTGCTTCACAACCTGCGCCTGCCATGTGTGTGTGTGTTTGTTTTAAATTCTTACAACTTGCACATTCAGGCCTCGACAATGCAGAAGTTGTGCCCACTCGAACCTCGCACTTGCGGCAGCATCGGCGTTGCTGCAGCCTTGCCAGAACAAGCCGAAACCTTGCTTGAAACATCTCCGGGGCAGGCTTCACTGGCCACCGCCCTTGCTCAGGCCACTGGGTCAACTTCTCACCGATCTTTGCCATTGCATCGAAAGCATCTCGGCGCTCTTTCCGGTACTCCTCTCGCCGCTTCTGAAGGTTCTTTAGCGCGACATCGCGTGTGTAGTCCTCACATGCAGAGGGGTACCTACCAACATACAAACCATACAGGAGGGTTTCCGAAAATAGGGGACCCCAACGTAGTACCCCAAATAGTAGGATCCTTCCCTGACCCCACATCACACACTAACTATAAAAAGACTGCAGGCACCTCCGGTATGGTGTCCCATATCAAGCCCCGATCCTTTCGCCGCTCCTGCTGATGTTGTGTCCATTTGGGAGTTTGCGAAAATTAGGGTACCTGAGGGTTCCTTTAAAGGGTTACTCTACGGGTATCATAAGGGTTCCTTTAAAGGGCTCTGTAAGGGTTTAGGGGTACACTATTTTGGGGTCCTTACAATAAGGATCCTACTATTGTGGGTACTGTATTGGGGTCCCCCATTTTCTGAAACTCCCATTTACATGTGGTATCGTAGTGCAGGCGCAGAGACATGAGGCAAGGATACATTGACAAAAGACTGCCTATTGTTACATACATATGCGATATCCTGTAATTGTTGTATAGATCTAGCTACATGTGTGTACACTCAGAAGTAAAGCAAATCAAATGCCCACACATATGTACATACCTCTGAAGGGATAAAACTGCATATGTACATGTACACACATGCCTAAACGACAAACACATTTACATACATGCATGCACACATACACATGTACCTGTATATGGATGTGATAGATATGCATGCTGTCCCTCCGCTCCCCCCACCCCACCCCAGCCCAGGCACCTCCAAGACGAATGTCGCACATTAGTTCCCTGTTCCCTGTGCCCTGGATTCGCAATATTCCCTATTCCTGGGTTCCTAGGGAATTCCGGGAAACAAACGGAAATACCAGCATTCAGGAGCGCAATCGCCCGTGGTGCATGGAATTAGGGAACCTAGGATATCACAAACACTTGCGGAACTTAGAGAACTTCTCAGAAATGTAGAGTGTATAAGGAACACAAACAATGAGTTTTAGGAAATTCTGCAAATTTCCTAATCCTAAATAGTCCCACACGCAGTGTCCGGAATTCGTGTAATTGAGAAAATTCGAGCAACTAGAAAGCCTAAGCAGTCCTGCACATTGTACATGGAATAAGAAAGATTAAGGGTTTTTAAGATGTTGGCAATCGAGAAATGGGAATGGATTCGACATGTAGCGAATCTGGGCATATGCGGAAGCAGGGCAATTCATGCTTGAGAAACGTTTTTTACATGAGGGCATACGATTGAAGTCTTGTGCGATTGCGGTGGGTGCCCGGCAAACCATGCATGCGCAATGGGTCCGGGGAAATGGGAACTGCAATTAAGGAATCTACGTAGGGAATATAAAATTTGGAAAAACGAACTTTGCAAGTATAGGACCTAGAGACCTAGATATCTGCAAAACATAGAATTTTTCCGTTCGTTAAGGACACTCAGTGACTCAGCGAATGTAAGGCATGCACCCGGTAAACTAATGAGGTTTGGACGGGAACTACGATCCATCAACATTACCCAACATGCCAATATTCAATCAGCGCTCAATTCACGAGGGACTAAAAAGAATCCAGGCTGTACAAGCATAGGGCTTGTTTAAGTACTCCAAGTGATCCGACAAGAACTGTCATGAGAATTGGAAAAATGCGTAAACACTGTCAAGTATCAATACATCCAGCACCGATTGTATAGCCAATTGCAACTTCAAGCATTGAATCATATTCAACTCATCTGTCTAATGACTACTGAATAGTTGACCCGTTGTTGGTCATTGTGACTGTGAGCGTGCTCGATCACCCAAGTCCACAACCCGACGCTCGAAGACAGAGAGCACTAACCCCCAAGGCAACAAGCACCAACGCATCACCTCAAACCTTTGCTATCGGTAGCCGGAACCCGCATCGGGGCCAAACAGCTAGCAAAGGACAGGGTCGCGAAGGATGAAACAGATGAAAACAACCAGGACCAAGAGAGACCAAGAGGGAGGACAAGAAGCAAATCATCGAGGACTGCTCCCGGTGTGCAGAAGACGGAGGCGGCTAGGCTCCCTACGCCAACTCCCATGCGATCCTCTCTCCGGGTGATCTCTTCCTCCGACCATTCATCGCTGTCTGCGATCACGTCAGCTGGAAGCTCAGCCCACGCCTGACACGCAAAAAGCCACCAAACCAAGGCAACAGAAAACTTGGTGCCAAGAAGATTGCTGTCCGGGCTTCCTACATATGGGAGTTTCCGAAAATAGAGGAACCTAATATAGTACCCTAAGTAGTAGGATCCTCATTCTAAGCATAAGGGACCCATCATTCTCTGAAACTCCTATATGTTGCTAAACACAAGCTGCCCGAACCTGGAGTGCCAACTCAGAGCTCCACGGCGTCGCGGTCTCGGTGGACGTCGCAAGATCCCTTCGCAACGACTGCTCCCACCAACGAATGTCAAATGGCGCGTCCTCGATGCTGCCTTTGCCGACGGAAAACAAGCCGAGCCCTTTACGACCCACCCGCCACCAATACCGACAACCTCCGAGCGTGCCAAGTCGAAGCCGACGATGAAGAAGTCCATGGCGCCGAAGGCATCGACCAAGACGAAGGCCACTCAGCCGGCGCCCGATTCGCCGCACACGCCGGGGGAACATGGAGTCCTGCAAGCTTTTGCCGCTGCAGCAAGTCATGGGAAGTCTCTGTGTGTTATCTTATGTTGCTATCCGACCTGATTCGAGCGCCAATGTGTGGGACACCCTGTGGTCCTCAACAGGCCACTCCCAGCTCTGCAGTGGTTTGAATGCCAGGGGAGTGAGCTCATGCTCATCAGTGTACTGCCGCAGCGACTGCTCCCACCAACGAATGTCAAATGGCGCGTCCTCGATGCTGCCTTTGCCGACGGAAAACAAGCCGAGCCCTTTACGACCCACCCGCCACCAATACCGACAACCTCCGAGCATGCCAAGTCGAAGCCGACGTTGAAGAAGTCCCTTGCGCCGAAGGCATCGACCAAGACGAAGGCCACGCAGCCGGCGCCCGATTCGCCGCACACGCCGGGGGAACATGGAGTCCTGCAAGCTTATTCCCACTGCAGCAAGTCATGGGAAGTCTCTGTGTGTTATCTTATGTTGCTATCCGACCTGATTCGAGCGCCAATGTGTGGGACACCCTGTGGTCCTCAACAGGCCACTCCCAGCTCTGCAGTGGTTTGAATGCCAGGGGAGTGAGCTCATGCTCATCAGTGTACTGCCGCAACGACTGCTCCCACCAACGAATGTCAAATGGCGCGTCCTCGATGCTGCCTTTGCCGACAGAAAACAAGCCGAGCCCTTTACGACCCACCCGCCACCAATACCGACAACCTCCGAGCATGCCAAGTCGAAGCCGACGATGAAGAAGTCCCTGGCGCCGAAGGCATCGACCAAGACGAAGGCCACGCAGCCGGCGCCGACACCGCCGCTTTTGCCGAGGGAAGATGGGGTCCTGCAAGATTTTTCTTACTGCTGAAAGTCACAAGACCCTCAACTCTTCATGACTGAGAAGAGCTTGAAGCTTGCAAGTGTATCGACGTAGACCTGGAGACCAGAGAAACTGGTACCCTGTGTGTTGCAGCGAACTCAAATGGGTTTGGATAGCGATGTACATACCGCGCCCCGCAATGGATCCGCCCAATCGAGATGCCCCTTTGTCGAGCCGCCCACCCGGCTTCACAAGAGACTCCGGCCGCTGCAGGGTTTAGGGTTTAGGGTTCGAGAACTCTTGGGATCGTTACTGTTAAAGGACAGCACCCCCACACGATGGTCCTCAACCAGCTGCCATCCTCGAAGCGGCAAGAACGCCAAGGGGGCGGGCTCAGCACCCTGGTGCCGCAATAACTTCTGAAAGGTCTCGTCGGCGAAGCTGGAGTCTAGATCGTAGTGGAGTTCTTCTGGAGGTTTCCACCCTTCCACAGGCGCAAAGAAGAATCGTGCATCTAGATCCTGATGCACCGCATCTCTCAGAGTGTCTGGCACAGCCACGGCCCAGCACATCAAGTCTGAGTCCCAATCAGCCTCGATCTGCCAGAGAAGCACTGGCATCTCCACCGACCATGTCAGACTTTTGATGACGGAAATGCGCCGTGCCTCTTCTCTATATTGCTCGGCCGAGCCAGTTTCGAAGGAGCCAGCCTTTAGAAGATGCGAAATTTCCTGCAGCTTGTTTGGCCTTGGAGATTGCGGAGGTGGCTGGTCATAGAACTTGCACGTGCAGGGGAGCAAAGGCTGCAGAGCCGAGTAGAAGGGCAGATCGTTCCCATAGCCAGGCCGTGGCAGAGCTGGCAAGTAACGCTGGCGCTGCTCCAGTGTAAATTTCCACCGTGCGAGGCCCTTCAGCAGATCCTCCTCCTCTTCGGGGTTCTCTGCCCTTGCTTCTGCCAGCAAGGGAGCCAAGTCTTCCTTGGTAACGTCCCGAAGTTCGGAACCTGAACCTGAAAAAAACTCCCTGAAGCCCAAACCCTGAAATGACGGCCCCCAGGTAGATGCGAAACACCGAAGCCAAATCCAAAGCCCCGGAACCCCGAAACCTCCAAACCCGAGACCCGAAGCCGAAACGGCTCACCAGACAGGGCGTCCTCGGAAGCAGTATGTGGGTCTGGCATTATGTCGTGGGTGCCTGTGAGAACGAAGGCTGTGCCTTAGCTGAGCATGGGGCATGGCTCCCCCCCTTTGCAAGTCTTCAACTCACAGTCATGACTATTGCTATTACGACACATCTCCCAGCTTTGACGTTGAAGCCTTTCCGTTAAGCGCGTGCGTGGGAAAGTGAGCGTTCCTCGCAGACTACCGGCCATCCCTGAACTGATCGCAGCCGAGTCACCCTGAGAAACCACACTGGTCTGGAGCCCCAGTTGGGCGGCTTTCTTCGTGAGATGCTCACAGATGCTGGATCGGCGCGGCGGCGGCGTCGAGGCAAGCAGATCTGTGGCACCGATCTGCCTGGAGCAGACACGGAAGTTCAGGGTATGAAGCTTTAGGGCGCTGAGGGCTTATAGTGTTGTGGGTCTAAGGACGCGAAAAGAGGCATGCTAACTTGGATGACAGCCTTTTGGTAAGATGCGCCTGGAAAGATGCCAGGGCACGCCGAAAACGTCAACACAAAATCGCCCAGAATCTCTCTCAGGATAATGCCTGTGGCATGGCTGCCACTGCACTCGAACATGTGCTTCAGGCGGCGACAGCATCGTAAGCCAGGTCTGAGAGAGTCCTGTGTTCACCTTGAGAGCTTTCAAGTGGTTTTTGCAAACTGCAAGGCTCCGATGCTGGTGTGCAACTCCCCGTCGAAGTTTGCACATCTCCACTGAGTACACCAGCTCACCATGAGAGTGCAGGCTTCTCATGAGGGTCGGCATCTGAGACGAAGGCCTCTGCCTGACCTCGGGGACGTCGGCGTCAGCCACGCTCTCTCCGCGAATCTCATCAGAGCGAAGTCGCTGCCAGGGCTGCCACGGAAACCGCAGTAATGTCTCCCGACCACCCCGGAGCTTCTGTCGCATCTCCACCTGCGTGGGGCTTCTGTTAAGAGCGCTCCATGCTATAACCTGACAAAGGCAAGGACATTCTGCGCCTCGTAGAACAGCTCATGCTGTTTGGTGTAGGTATCGAGGAAGCAGATTTGCTCAGAAAGCTTCTCCGCCTTCCAAACTTCCAAAGCACCCGTCATGCTCGTTTTGCCACCGTGACCCCGAACCAAAACCTGAAGATCGTGGACGGCAAACTCCACTCAACCATCAAACCTGACCAGAGGAACATGCATTCTTCAGGGTTGCAGCACTTTCGAGGTTGGCATCCTCGACATGTCAGAGACGAGTCAGAAAGGCACGGAGGGAGGCAGGTAGGTAGGTAAGCGGTTGGATAGGATAAGTCGCCAAGTTCCAAGGTGGGTCGGTAGGTCAGGACAGTGGGTCGGTGGGTCGGTGGGTTGGTAGGTCGGTGGGTCGGCGGGTCGGCTGGTCGGCTACGCAAGTAGGTTAGGAGGTGTATGTGCCGTGTCTGCGCTTTTCGCCTTTGTCTCTGTACGTGTGCAAGTATGCTCGCATGCATGATGCGTGCAAAAGACTGTGATGGTCTGTGTACATGCAGGTCAGGCCGGGGTTGACAGCCCTAAACCCTTAACCCAAAACCCTAAACTCTAAACCCGAAACTCTAGACCCGAAACTCTAGACCCTAAACCCTGCGTCTGTGCTGTCCCTGGCCTTGCCCGGTGGAGGGCCCAGGAGGCACCGTACAAGCGCCTTGCAGCTCAGAAGACCACTGCCTTGGGGGGAGAACGGGACGCTGCAAAGGACAGGACCTTGGGTTTTCTAGAGTTCAGGAATTTCGGTGTCTGAGAATCAAGACAAGATGATTCGAAGCTGGCTTGCAAAGAAAAGCTGATTCATACAAGGTCATGACAGCCGAAATCTGAAGCTATGAACACTCAGACATGGCTGCAGCCCGTTCTGGTGGGCAAACCAATCCTCGAGTTCGTGGGGAAATTTACAATGGACAATAATCACGACAATCCCCCCCGCAGCAGTCGTTGTGGCAGCAGCCGCAAATGCAGGAAGCATCATCATGATGCTTCTTCCGGTGGTTGTTGTTGCTCGGACGACTATGAATACAGTCGTCAATTATGATGTCAGGGTGAAAACAGTCATCATTGCAACTATTGTTTCACATGACCACGTTTGTGATATGTATACAAGTTCAATACATGGTTTCTAAAAAGACAATAAGACATGTAACGTGTCCCCTTGCAGTACTACGCGCGATGCTCTGCAGTCGCTTTGATACTTTGGCATCAGAGCCTCTAGTTCCGTTTAGAGCTTGATACCTTGTTCATGCTTGCAGTTTCGCGATGCCGGGATCGGATAGGCATACAAGTAGCTTCGGCACGATGGAATGGATTTGAAGCTTGATATTCTCTTAGCCACAACGTCGCGTGAGGAAAGAGTGTCGCTCCAGCGAGCTCTCACACATCAACTGCAGACGGAACAGTTTAGGCTTTGGGGTTTTCTGAACCGTAGGCTTTTGCTGGGTTCACAGGAGATCTACAAGAGAACAAGATCCGCGGGCCAAGCGCGGCTAGGACTTTGAAATCCTGTCAAACCTGTATAACCCGCTGAATATGCATGGCGCGATGCCCATGAATCACAGAACCAGACTCGCATCCTCTTTCGCAGGACATCTTTGTACATCAACACTTGCCCGATTCGCTCATCTGTTTACGCTCTCTACCAGTTAGAGATACACATGCTCCTTCACCGGCTTTTGGCAGATTTCCTGAGGCCTGCACTGTCGGGAGGAACTTGTCGCAGGATGTCCTAGCCAAAGTGACAACTGACTGAAAGCCTTGCTACAGTGGTTCTAACACGTTCTCTTCGTGTAACCTGCACTGTAAACGGGCCAGCACTGCAATAATTTCATGGCGTGTGTGTGTGTGTGGGATATTCACTGGATCTTTAGGCTGCATATGCACTGGATCCTTATGCTCTCATGTGCACGAGCTGTTGAAAACCCAAACCGCTGCAAGTGAAAATGCCACGCTCCCTCGCCTGACGGTCCGCCTGGCTGAAGTGGCTGCCTCCGAAGTGCAGAGGATGCAAACAGAGAGCAGGCACCCAAGAACGGGAACCTGTGTCCCAACATGTTACCAGCTTGCAAGAGATTTAGAGCTTAGGGCGTAGGGGATTTTCTAGCCCGCCCACAGCCACCTTGCAAGCGCATGATGTGCGAGAGCGTCTTCACGGACACGCTTCCCCGGCCCTGGTGAAAGACTTCGAAGCACGCCAGCAACTCTGCCTCCTGGCAAGCCAAGCTGCAAGTTGTTCGAAGAGGCTTGGCCCACATGCAAAGGGCCATGCCAGGACTTGCCATTGCGCCTACTCTCCCCATGGAAATCCGAGGCCGAAGCCGGGCCTGGTCTCGGTATCTCCACTCGTCCTTGGCATCCTGCGGCATTCCGCTTGCATGGTCTGAATACTAGTTGCCTGTGGAAACTTAAGCCTTTCAGAAGCCTGTCTGTGGTTCTGGGAAGCCTTCGAGAGAGTGCTCAGCATGGACTTGCCGACCCTTGTTCTCGCTCTGTTTCCCTCTCGGGTCAATCCTGGAGCAACTGGCAGAAGGTTGCTTGCTCCAGCATGACCTTCTTGCCACATTTCAGCAGGTGCCGGGACACCTCGTGCTGAGCTGCGTGCACCGAACCCATGGCTCACTCTTCGAGTTTTGATCTGGTGTTTCTGGCCTCTGTTGGCAAACCATCGTTGCAAACTTTCCAAGAACCAAGAGAAAACGTGTGTACATGTATATGTATGTGTGTGCATATATATATATATAATGTGGAGAACCGGGTCTCTGAAATCCCTCACGAAGCCTCCTCTGCCGTCGGGTTCATACACAGCAGCCGCATGGCATCGCCAAGCTTTTCCGCTGGAAGAAGGCCGCGCTTCGCGTATTTCCGGAAGAACATCCCAGCGAAGTCCTGGAACGAGGGTGAAGATCACTATCCACAAACATACCCAGTAGACACTGGACAAGGTCGCTCGTGCGGAACTTGCTGGCTGCCCAACTGAGCAACATTTACATAAGCATAGGCTTTCAAACCACCTCTCGCAAACAACTCCAAACCTGACACGACTCCAGAACATCACACACGTGCCATCTGGACAGAAAGGTTGCCTTTATTGGGTGACACGACCAGCGACCGCAAAGATCAACTAGTCGATAGAGTTGAATGGAACCACTCAGGGCCAACATGCAGGACACCTCAAGAACTAAGATGTGAAAACCCAAAATTCTGTAACGACCACGCGGCCGTTCCAAACCTCCGAACTTAAGCCATACACGCAGCCGGATAAGCAAAGTAACCTTGGCACCCAAGCCTCAAGCTCCCCAGGTGGAGCCAGCACCAAGACATCGCTCGAACTTGACATGGCCCTGGGACTCTCGAGGTTTCGGGCTTGTCGAAGTATGGTCTAGGCTTTAGGGCTTCTTCGTTCTTTCGAGCTCTATAAGAACCAGGATGAGTTGACGATTTCGGGGGTGTGCATTTTGGGTGTTAGGGCTTCGAGCTTGATGGTTGCTTGTGGTAGCGATTGCTGGCACGGGGGAAGAGTTGGGCTTTTGGAGTTCGCTAGGCTGTCGGTCACGACATGAGCACTTAGCTTGGATTCGAAACCGTTCTTCAAATCGAGCATCTGGTCATCCTCCACCATTATACCGTTGGCGGCCATGGCGACGGAGAGCACAAAGTGATTGTTTCTTTTTCCGCCTTATACAAATGGAAACTGCGACCAGCCCTTGTAAGAAGCTGCTAAAACCTCCAGCCGCGTGAAATCTGAACTTCTACACAAAAGCAGCAAAAAACTGACCACGGCCCGGCTGTGCAATCGGACGTCAACAGTTCGACACGAGCTGCAAAACTTTAACTTAACAAAGTTCTCACACTGTCAACATAAGACTACTAACAAAACGATCACCTGTGCTCATTGTCCCTGACAGCATAGTTCGCGTTCGAAGAGAGAAGCATGCAAGTTGACTTTCTCGGCTCTGCAGCCCTCACTGGCTGCTTCCCGCTTGGTCGCGGCAAGGTGATACACAGGGCGAAGTGAGAACAACAACATGCGCTGACTATCTCCGGTGAGGAATTGTTGCTCAGGTAGCAGCCAAACTGTGACAACATCGGTTCCGTGCGACGACCCCGTCCAAACTAATATAGGGACTGACATCTTAAGCTCGCTTGCGCGTGCTTGCAACAGAAGAAGGGTAAAGTAGCTGAACCAGTCGTTGAAGCCTGCTGTTGTTTGGTCATTCTAGCCGGCTCTGATCTGGGACTTTTCTACTCGAACCGCTGCCAAGCGCGTGCCACCAACTCTTGCTCAGCTCCACCGGCAACTGCTTGAGAAGCCTGACCGTCGATGATCCAGGGCGTTTGGAGTTCAAACGGCGGACCAGCACAGTAGCCCTTGTCCATGGCCAGACGTATGATCTTATGCCAATGACGGTCTGCAGACAGGAGCCGTAAGTTCCCCACTACGACCAGTGCAGAGCGAGCGCGGCTGAGAGCAACATTGGAGCGCTTTTCATTACCAACAAACCCGAGGGCGAACTTCAGGTCCTGTGGAACCTCATTCTCTTGACGAGAGCGCACAGTCGTTAGCAAAATGACACGGCTCTCACGGCCCTGAAATTGCTCCGTGGTTCCTACCTGGGCTGGGAACGATTCCGTTCTGCACATGAGTTGAAGGCGCTTGCACTGTAGCTGATAAGGTGTGATGATTCCCACGTCAGATGCGTAGACACCTTTGGTTTTCAGTTCCTGCACGTAGGCGCGGATCACCTCCACCTCATCTGGATTGGACCATGAGGGAGAAGTTGTCTCTCGAGCTTCGGTTCCACAAACATGATGGAATATGACTGGGTGCCCGTTGACGGGGAAACACCTCCATCCAACCATATCGTGGCTGCTTTCAGGGCACAAGCATCTCAGCATTCCGCCGTATGTGACTTGATTGTAGATATGGAGGATACTCGGGTGGGCTCTGTAAGAGCGCAAGAGCGTGTGAACTCTCGGATGGTCGATGCCAATGTGCTGTACAATTCGGTCCAGAAACGGGGTGTCCAAACCGAGGCGAGCAGCCTCCGGCGACCGTATTATCGGACCCAACTGCTTGAAGTCGCCAGCGAGCACCACGAGGGCCCCGGGTTCGGCTGTGCTAGCTGGAATCAAGACCTCTGGCTCCAAAGCCTGCGCGGCTTCATCTACAAACACGTGGGTGAACCAGCCGGGCAAGCTGGTTCGACTGGCCAAGTAGCCAGCCGACGTGCAAGTAGAGACTATGACGTTATATTGCTGAAGTTCTGCAAGGGTAGGGATGTTGAATGTATCGAAGGCGAGACCTTTGCTGGTGAAGGGCTTCACCGAGCTCGGAACGTCACCTTCATTGCGGAGCATGCCGTTCAGGCGGAGCATTTTGCGAATCCCCTTCTTGCTCAGCTTCTCGCATATCAAGTCTGCTGCAGCATTGGACGGCGCAGTGGCCAACACTTTGGCCCCGGGTATGTCCAGAACGTGTTGAATTGCAGCGACCAGCCTGGCTGATTCAAAGTGCTGCGACATTCAATATATATACATATATGTATAACTAACAAAAAGTTGATATATATATATATATATATATATATAACTAATCAATAAAAGTTGTACGCTAGGATGTTGTCAACACTGCAAAACCTTGCTAGGATGCGCTATTAATGCGATTAAGAATCGTAGTGGTCTTGCCAGTGCCAGGCGGGCCCCAAAGCACGAGAGGCAAATGGAACCTCACCGAAGGCGCATGGTCATCATGCATACATAGGGGCTTGACCTGGTCAAAGTTGTAGACGACGTACTCAGGACCCGAGCTGAACCCCTCGTACAGCACAGAGTCATAACCTTGCCTCTGCAACTGAGTGAAGGTCAAATTGGAATCACATTCGTACACAACCTTGGTTCGACCAAGCTTCACAGAGCACACTAGAATTGGGCCGTGGCTATGTGCCTTTCGGTGCGTGGCTTCAGGGGTCTTGGCAAAATATATGCCACCGCCCAGAGCGCCAGAGCGGCCTCTGAACATTCGCCCTGTTTCCAAGATCTTTGCGGCAGAAGCGGCATCCGTCTGGTGGTAGAGAATCCTGGTTCCGTACTCCGCCAATCGGCGCTCCCGAGCATCCGTTGTGTCGGCTGAGAGCTTCTCCGCCAGCAGCTTCTCTTCCAGGGAAAGCTCAATCTGTGTGACTTTCCTGGCCTGTACCACTGCGCTCACAAAGTCCCTTTGCTCCTCGTTCAACTCGCCCAGAGCTGTGAAAACGTGAGACTGGGATGGTGCTCGAGGGGTCTGGCGAGCAGTGCTGCGGCTGTAAAGGAACGGTATCCGATCTCTGGTATCTTTCAGGGCACGATGCATCAACTTCAAAGGAGTTCTGGTGAAAAAGAACTTGACTTCAAAAGGCGGCGTGTTGTCAAAGCTGCCATGAAAGGACAGATCCACCCTATCAAGTTGAACTCGGTGCACGTACGCCTTGAAGCGACCCGTTTTGCTGATGACCAAGACAGCATCCCCGCGTAGAACGGAGGGCCGCTTCTCGGCCACCCCCGGCACTTCCAAGCGAAAAAGCCTTGAAACACCCACAGCGAAAGTTGGCTCCAATGGATCCCTCACATGCATGTCGTACATGCCGATGTCAAAGCTCATCTGGAGCTCTTCCGCATGGAGCAAGTTGCTGAAGATTTCAGGCCAAATCTGTAAGTGTTCGGGAGATATCTCAAGAGTCCCATGGAGGCCACTCGACAGCTTTAGGCATGGAACTTCCAGAGTTTCCAAGAGTTGCTTCAGACGCTTTCGCATCTCAGCCATGCTACATTGTTTCAGCTTCTTGAAAGCTGCCCCAAGCGAAGAGGGCTGCAGTGCACGCTCGAAGGTCACAGGCACCACAGGCCTCTGGCCTTCTAGGCTTCCCTCGAGCTCTCCAGGACATGGATCCTTCCAAGACTTGCTCTGCACTGGCCGCAGCACTCGGAAAGAGGCCCGTCTGCGACCAACAGGCTTCAGGACATACCAGACCTGAAGCCAGTAGAGCACACCGCTGAAACCTCCGGTAGACGTACCCTGCTCCTCGCAAAATGCTACCCACAAGTCAAGCAGCTCTTCCCTGGTGTACCTTTCGGGCTCTGCTTCAAAAAGTTGCCAACCAAAGTCGTTTGCGAAGCGTGCCACACGCTTGCTGGTCACCATCGATAACTTCGGCTAAACCTTTGGCAACCTGTTTCGAGCTGCTCCACCAGCGCTTTCCATGGGTATTGCTGGCTACAAAGAGCTGTGGCCGACAAGCTACATCTCAGAGCGAGGTATCTCCGGGTTAGGGGCCTTTTGAAATTGTATCCCTTTGCGCCGCAATCTTTGCCTCACACAGGAACCGCGGACATAGACGAGGGTGGTTGTCGTCTTGAACTCGTCTCGTACAAGGGCTTGTATGACGGACATCTACAGGAAGGCATCAATTCTGAAGGTGTTGCAGTGAGGCAAAATGTTGCTGCATGATCCCTCAATATGAAGCATGGCCCCGGCGTCGTGAAACTACTACTGCCAGTGCCACTGCTGCTGCCAATGCTGTTGTTGCTGCTGCTGCAAAATGCTGCTCCTCCCCCTCCTGCTCCTCCTCCTCCTTGTAGTAGTAGTAGTACTACTACTACTACTACTACTACTACTACTACTACTACTACTACTACTGCTACTACTACTACTACTACTGCTGCTACTACTACTACTACCAAACTAGACACTACTGCTACTACTTCCACCACTACTACCACCAATACCACGACCACTACCAGCACTTCCACGACCACGACCACAACCACGACCACAGGCCCAGATCAGCAATGACGACGACGTCAATGGACAACGACGACGGCGGATGACCAGCGACGACGACAAGTGTGGCAACGACACCGAGGACGACGACGGTGGCAACGATGACGACGGCGCCGCCGACAGAGACGACGGCCACGAGGGCCACGACCACAACCAGGACAACAACTGCAACGACCGCGACCGAGAGCGGCGATGACGACCACGGAGACGACGACGTAAACGACGACAACGACCACCATGACCACGACAGCGACGACCATGACCAACAGCGGCAACGACCTGACGACGACGAGGACGAGGACTGCGGCGACGACGACGATCCACGGACGACGGGCGACGATGACATTATAAAGTGTGCGGATGGTTCAATCACTATTTCCAAGTTGGAAGCAGCCTTGACTAGAGCTGATGAACAGTACGCGACTCTTCCTTTTGATGTCAAAGTTGTGCCCAAGACAAAGATCCAAGGACAGATCATACCCTAAACCCTCATACTGTTGCGGTCACGGGTGGAAGGTCTTTTCCAGTTCGCGCTGCCTTCTTGGCAGCCTTTCTGAGAGAGGAGGCTCCTTTCAGAAGGGCGTCCCGCAAGAAAGGATGTGAAACGTCGGCTGTGCCCGGTGCACGAAGGTCACGGGGTTTTAGCTATCCTGTTCATGGTTTCAACCCTGAACCCAACACCTTCTTCCCTAAACCTTAAACCCTAAACCCTAAACCTCACAGATTTCAGGGGCTTGTTTGGAGGATGAAGCAACGGTGAAAGTCTCGGGCGGCCTAGGAAAGGACCTCAGGCTGAAAGCATAGGATTGACAGCCCGAGGCAGAGAGTTTCGGGTTTAGGGTTTAAGGTTTCGGGTTTCGGGTTGAGGGTTTAGGGTTTCGGGTACTTCCAACCTCAAGGCACTGCCGTCGATGACGGCTACCGACCGACCTAAAAGTCGTATAAACGGCTCCTTGAAGAGGCCTTTAATTTTCCGGGCCCAACCTAAGGGGCAGTACGGGAGCAGTAAAACACTGACCACCTCATCCCGCAATCTCTTCCTCTTGCTCCTCCTGCTTCACTGAACATTCTTCGTCCTCCAGCGGCTCTTCCTCCGCCTCCTCTTCGGCGTTTGCTTCAAGACTCGACCGACACTCGCACCGGGATCATCCAGAAAATAGAAACGCAAAATTGGGCCCTGATTTAACAATGACTAAGAAGCCGCTTTCCTTATGCTTCCCAAGAATCCCAAGAAGACCGGGGAGTTGATCAATAAGGAACCCGAGTTGCCGTCTGAACAAGCAAAAACCACACTTCCATTCCTTGTAGGTTGCACAAGCCCCTTGCTTGAAAAATTTACTAATCAATATCCCTGAACCATTAACAACCGGAACCCTGAACCGTCTTAACCGCGAGGTTTGACCTCCCCAATAAAGAAAGTTTTACAGCCACCCCAAAATGCTACACTCCCAGGCTGTAGCCCCTGCACCTGGGCTCCCACTTCTCTGAGAGCATTCTCTGGAAGGTTCTTCCGAAAACGTGGATGCTTCTCAACTTCAGCGAAGACCTGCCCATGGATCTTAGGGAAGCTTAAGGTCGAGGGACGCTGAGGCCTGAAACGTCTGAGTACATACGGGCCTGTGCTCCGATTTCGCCGATCCTGTTGTTCCGAAGCGAAACCACTGCGATCGTCGGGTGTTCCATGATGGCTTCAATGGCCTGACCAGCAACATGTCGCCAGACAGCAAAAGAGCGGAAGGGGACCAGAGAGACAGAGAGCTGCATCCCAGCCTTGGCTCCGCTGTCTCCAATCGCGTTTTCCTCCAAGTTCACGCGTTCCAGCCGGGGAAGTCTCTTGATGGCTTGGGCAACTGCCTCAGCAGCTCTGAGGAGCACAGAGAAGCACACATCTAGAGCTCCTCTACCTCAACACTACGAGTAGTCCCCAGTTCCACGAACTCCGAACCTCCGGTAGCATCTCTATAAAACACGCTTGGCCCGGCCTCTGCGGCGACATCATCAAGATGTTTTTGTTTCAGATCCAGTCTCCACCCGAACCTGCCGAACTTGATGTCCCATGCAGCTTCGGCCACCAGCGCCAGTCCCTGGCTACGGAACAGCTGTCAAGGAAAAATCCTCAAACATCGTCTGGGCAATCCTTTGCATTCACCTGCGGCAATGTTCTACACTAATGCTTCTTATAATGGAACCCCAGTGTGGTGCGACACGGAGTGACGCAGAGCCCATTGCAGCTGCAGGTTCTCGTGAGATGCGCAGTGCCTTGATGCTCACTTCCCGGCTGCACGGAAAAACTGCCATGACCTTTGTGTCAAGTGATGCAAGTGGGAAGACACGAGAGCAGCGCTTTCAAGCACAGCATCGAACTCACAGCGGATCGGAGCGAAGCTCAAACTCGACATTGCCACGGTTCTCAGCAACGGAACCGGGTCCGCATGACGGCACCTTCCCGAAACGACTGTATCGCATGGACAGCAGCGCTGGGCCTTGCGGATGCAAGCCAGTCCCATAGTAGCCTATTCAAACGTCACACCCACGCGAAGTTTTCAGATCATAACCTTCGCCTGCGACGCTAAATGATGTACCGAGATCTCTCGAACAACATGCACCTCTTCAGCCATCGGGCCATGAAGCATCCCAACAAGAACCCAGGGACAAGCTAAACAGCCGAGAAAGGGCATGCAACATGTTTAGAGCTCGATGGGACAGCATCCAGAGATTTGAGTTCAAGGCTGCAGGCTGCAGATTCAATTCAACTGCACTGAGCTCCACACTGGAACTCTGGCGATCTTTGCATCTGCGCCTCCCCCAGAGAGCCCAATCAAAGTAAAGAGTATACCTTAAATGAGAAAGGCCTGCATATGATTTGAAGAATATTCCTTAGTTAAGGGGTATTGGGTAGCACGCTTAGTGAACGTACTAGCAGCGCCGACGAGTACTCAATCACATTTCTGCAGATGCGCACCTGGTATTTCTCGTAAAGATACCAGCCCACCCAAACTTGTTTAAGCGCGATTACCAATGCAGTGTTCCAAGCTGTTCGGGTCACTTACTTCCAGCTCAATAACAAGCATTGCCCCACGAACATGGGCAACATGAAATTTTCCACGAGCGGTCGTCCCCGAAATGCAGAGGAGGAACACCCCAAACAAGGACCCCGAGTGGCAACGAAAGTCGGATCCCTCAGGTCTTAGGCCCACAGAAACCCCGACGCCCGGGACACCAACACGCCTTGACAGCACAAAGCCCCCACAACACCCAGATCCTTGACTCCTGAGCTCAAACCCCAAATGCTACACCCTCCACTCTACACATCTCTACACTCTACACCCTCCTAGGCTCATCCCCAACTTCTCCGGCAGCAAAGGGGCATTCGGGGGCATCACCTTCCCGGAGTCGCGAAGGACGATAAGACTCCCGTCAGCTGGCGACTCCGGAAGTTTGATGCCTGGACAATAGCACTATGTAGTACTAGTAGTAATAAATAAATACAAACAATAATAACAATAATAACAATAATAACAATAATAACAATAATAACAATAATAACAGTAATAACAATAATAACAATAATAGTAATAATAAAAATAATAATAATAATAGTAATAATAAAGCACGACGCCAGGCGCGGATTCAGGAGTCCAGCTTCATCTCAGGCACATTGCTACTGCTGCAATGACTTTGCTAGTATGGTCAAGGGAGATTCGGACTTCGCAGATAGACAAACACGTAGATGAGGACCTCTAATCGGCGTTGTAGAAAGCAAGACTACACTGACTACACTCCAAGCACTCAGACCCGTGCACCTTTCTTCGACTGTTGCGGCAGGGAGCTTCCGACAACGATCCCGCCGCCACTTTCCGGTATCATGCCGCCCAGTAGTCGCAGTATTCCTTAAAATCCGGCCAAGAGCCTGCCTGTACGAAATGAGATCCCTTTGGGAAATACTTCCGATGGCAGGAGTTGACCTTCTCCAAGTCCTCCTTGGGTTCTGAGGTGCCGTTCAACATTTTTTGCTGGTGGGCACAAAGCAGCACGACGCACTCTGCCCTCTCCTTTCTCTCCTTGAACACGCGGAAGATCTGAGTGTCTGGGTTGGACCAGAAGGGAGCGGACTGGCGAGCGCACCGGTCATCGCTCGTCGCGGGGATCACCATGCCGCCACGTTTTCCACAAAGCATGGAATGCCGCATGCAGAGCATGGCGTGGCGGATGTCGAACGGCCGCCTGCGAAGATATTCGCAGTGTGACATGGCCTTGTAGTTCTGCAGCTCCTGACTGGGCGACGTGTCCCATCTGAACAGGTCACCCGGAAGACTCGGGAAATAATTCGACCTAGGAGACCTCTTCAGCTGCTCTGACGTGGACTTGTTGTAGCCCATCGCAGTCCTGAGTCGTTTCAAGCCGTAGTTGCTGTCGCCGAAATGGGTCTCGAAGGGCTGGTCCTTCAAGAATTTGCCGTCCTCGGCGGTCTTGAAGCCAACCCGGCCGCAGTTCGTCAGGGCCTTTGTGATGCCAATGCCTTGGACCGCGCCGAGTAACGGAAGCACCGCTGTGGCGAAGGGGAGCACCACTGCAGTGCTCACGGCTCCCGAGACGAGGCCCGTCAGCAGGCTGAGAAAGCCAGGGCCGATTTTGTCCGCCATCGCTTCGCCTGCGATGACTCCGCCGCCGATCCCGATGACACCTGCGGCAAGCAGCCCGTCGAAGATGCCGCCGACGAGACCACCGGCAACCTCTAATGGAGCTACGAGGGCCATCTTGACCTGGTCCTTCCAGCCTTTGGAGCGTGTGACTGCGATGGATTTCAGCCGGCGGTCATGTACCAGCTCATGTACCAGCTCCTCTGTCGACGGCTCGCACACCACACAGAAGTCGAAGCATCGGTAGGTCTTATCATCTGCCAGTTTCTGATCGGTAAGCATCCAGAGTTCTCGGATCAGCCTCGTCGACTCGCGCGGCCCGGGATAAGAAGAACCCGATTGCATCTTCTCCACCCGCTTCTGGACATCCTTCAAGACCTGCACATAATTCGTCGAGTTAACCCAGCTCTGATCGAAATCCCACGCGAGGGGGTAGTCGTCGATGCCTTCGACCTCCTCCGTGTCGGAGATCTCCATCACCTCTCGTGCGGCCTTCAACCGGTGGCCCAGCGCCTCCCGAAAGAGGAGCGATGCGTAGCAAACCGCCAGACCGTGCAGAGGAAATACCGGCATGAGGCTTAGCTGCAACGGAAATCTTATGCAGGGACTGGTCAGACGACGGACAAGCTAGTGCGATTGCTTGAGCCCAAATGGCTAGGGGTCACGGCCCAGCTGCGGCTTCGATGCCCGTGAGTGGTGGCATGTGGCATGTTCTTGCAGCCTACAATATACTGCGGCATACTGCTTACCTTGTGTATATTTTATACTATCTCTTCTACGAACTCATACAGTGGTATACTACATTCCAGTGCACTATGTACGTAATAAGATGTATAATACTAAACTCTTCCCGTCCCCTGGCACCATCTAACATATAGGGCCCTTCAAGATTTATCGTATACTTATCATAGGAACCCTAAGGCGATGCCGGCATGTTGCGCTGCAAATAACTGAGAACCTCTTGCCACCGAGGATCCTCGAAGAGCCTGGCTGGGAGGCTGTATATATAAAATAATCATAACAGTAACAACAGTCATTGTAATAGTAATATTCATGATTGTCAGAAAATTTATGTGTATATACATATATATATATATATATATATATATATATATTAGCAATCATCAGGACAAGGTTAGCGTTCTCGGTGTAGGGGCCAGGCTTCTTTGAAGGGTTGCTAAGCTCAAGGGCTAGTCTTTTTCTGTCACGAAAAAAGGGGCTGCCAACAGGTTTGACCATGAAAAGCACAAGTAGGATACGAGAGTGGGAAGTGTAAAGCAGCCATAATGGAAACACAACCTTCAAGAGTACAGGGACTTAATGATCAAACTAGGCTGTTGGGTCTAGCCAGTATAAGTGTATAGGCTGAAGTCTGGATCTGGTAGTACCAATTAAGGTGAAGTCTCGGCATGTGGAGTTTGCTTCTCAGTCATTAGGCCCCCACACGATACCCTTCAACCCAAAAACCCCACTTGACCAGGCGAGCAAGATCCTGGTTCACGATTTGGAAGACACGCCTGGGAGTTTCTGCCGGAAGCTGTAACAGGACCGAAACTACTGAACTGAGGTCTGCCCTATTAGAGGGTTTAGGGTTTAGGGTTTAGGGTTCAGGGGCACTGTCCAGTGCCGCTGATTTCCTCCTTGCAGCAGTGTCTCCGAGAGTAAATCGCGGTCTTTGTTTGCCTTGATCTGGCAAAGACACAATGACCGAGTGATCCTAATGTATAATCAGAACAGGGCATGCGAGGCATATCTCACTATATTGCATTACGTCACGTGAAAACTATATCCACGAGGAGCCCTCAGTCCTGGGGAGCAGTTTTTAGAGAGCCAGTAGCGGTTGGCCTGTGGTGGGGCGCCTCCCGGTGCTCCTTCGCCAGCCGATGCCTGATGCCAGGAAGGATGAGACGATGCTGAACGGGCCATGGCAATGGTGGAGTATGCGGGATACGGTAGTGCCCCATGATATGTCATGAGACTCTGTCCGATGGCAAAAGAAGTACCATCGCATGCATCGCACCGGCAGTATGACAGTTTCGAGGTTTTTACTTCCTCTGACAGCCGCTCTAGTCATAGATTCCGGCATACACCCCTCAATGGAGAGGACAATCTTGAGTCTAGTATACTGGTATGAACATTAACTCATTAGCTACATACCGACATACTGTATATTCAATCTACTGCTAGTTATGCGAAGAAGTTTGCAGGCGTGACGCATGGCAGTCGCGGTGTTGGTGCCATCGAAGTCGGCCCTGTAGGTGCCAATGAGGTTGAGGACCTGCACAGGACCTACATTAGGACATGCCGTGCAGTATGTCATTATGGCTCCCCGGAGACATCAACGCCCACGGGCTGGAAATCCCAACGAACCTTTTTAGCGCGCGGCCTCTGGCACGGAGGTCGTGGCCGCCAGCCCATCGTTCAACATCCGGGAGGGATGAAGCAAACTAGCTATGAGAAAGTACTCAATGTAACCCAAAATAATTTTGCAAACGCCTACAAAAAAACTATCTGAGAATAGATATGAATACCGCTTTTAAATCACAAAACAGATGCTCGACCGGGGAGGTTGAAAAGAACAAGATAAAGTACCACCTGTGCCGTCCACAATGCGATGCCTGTCTTGTCCGGCTGATGCATGCTAAGATTCTAAGTGAGGGGCTTGGTGGCTGCGACGGCACAGCAAATCCGCAAACATGTTATTGTTTGGGCTCAAGAAAGGGAAAACCGTGAGACATGAGTTCGCAACAAAATTGAAAACTCGATCAAACTCGAAAAGTCATATACGAGCGATTGATTTTGAATTGATCATTGCGCAGCTGAGCGGCTTTTATGACAACGGAAAAACAACTTAGTCGCTTCGCGAAAACGCCGTTTTTCCGTTTTCACTGCGATCTGCAAAATCTCATCTGAATTGATATGTAGAATATAACTCCTAAACATATAAGTGTCAGTCCCTTACGAAATTTTCGTACGCTTAGTGCGGGAAACCCTTCGCGAAGCGCTCACACTCTCTTTATGCCTAGCACAGGAATGGGGGTGAATTCGAACCCGATGTTCGGGCAGCTCAATGCTAAACCCCACTGCGGCTGCACACGAACTGATAACTTATCAGCTGGGGTAGGGCGAACGACTCGTCCACCCGCTTCTTCTTACTAAGAGAGGACGACCGTACCCCCTTCGTACCAGGAGTGGACCACGGTACTACGATAAAAGCAAGAGACAAGTCCTAAAATGACAAGAAACCTGGTTTCCGCAACGAGTGAAACATAGAACACAGAATTTCTGTGTAGCTGCAAGCTAAAGATCCCGATGAAGGATACTATCCACGCAGCTTACGCAATATATGTACAGTCGGCCCCAACAGCTCTTCATTCAGCTTCCGAGATACACGCAAACCGATGTGGGCATTGTAAAGCATCGCATATCTCTCTCTAGGAACGGATGCTTTCACTGCCAGTCTTCAACGAGGAGGACAGCATGCAGGTTGAATGGACTGAAGCAGTGCGCTGAGGCGAAAACGAGCTGGACACAAAACTGCAGCGAACACCAACACTGTCTCCTCAGGAAGCTTCTGAAAACTGCCGTGTGATTGGCTGCCTTGCAGAATCGCTGCGGAGGCAGCACCACTGCTCCATGACTGGGAGGAGCGTCTTTCGGCTGCCAGTGGACAAGGCAATCTGGGAAAAATGACCTATCTGCATCCTTGCTTTCATATCCGAAATAAAACTGTACGACTCTAAGCGGCTGCTAAACTAAAAGGCGCTGCACGGTCACAACTATACATGCATGCTTCCATATCGTAGCAAATCTGCACACACAGTTCAACATCCTGCCTCGAGGATTGTATCACTGTCGTCCATTTTTTTTATCGTCTGCGAGGCCCTTGGGTAAGATAAAGGCGCTTTTGGGTTTTACGCTGCAATCCAAAGTGCTCTGTTTCTGGCAACATCGTAGCCGTCGGTATGGCCAAGAATTCATGTTCTATCAGGAAATGCGGTGGGTGCCCGACTGAAGGTAGTCTATTCGGTGGAAGGCTTCCACAAGGCAGAATTCAGCCGATTCAGAGCGTCTGTACAAATGTCTAACAGATTAAGGCGACCTTGTCTTTTTGGACTGGGCGAAAGCCTTTGACTCGGTTACCTTTTCCTGTACCGCAAAGTCTCCGAGCACTTATATCCAAATACGCGGACTCCGGCAACAGTTCCCCTCTCCTCATCTGTTTGGTTTGTGCTCACTCATCTCCGAGAGCGTTCAGTTTCAAAATACGTTGGAACATGGAGTTATCTCCTTTATTTTGGCGTGGGCGGGCCTCAAAGACAGCAGGTTGCTGCACTCAGAACTACAATAATGCCAAGAACAAAATCAACTGTACAAAGAAAAGACGACGCAAAGGGTGAGACAGGCCGCGACTAGCAGACTTACTGTAGCCGGGCAGACGTCGTTCCGACAAGACATGCCCGGCACCGCAACTACCACCGCTCAGATGCCCCGCTTCCCAGTCGGACTGAGTTGCAATGGCACATAAACTGCCCAGATCCAAGAGTCGAGCAAAACAACATACCCATCCCGTCCCAGCTTCCCAAAGAGGGTCTCGCAAGGGCAAGACGGAGAGGCGCTTGGTGTGGAGAAATGCGCCCTAGCACCCATACAGAAGCGGAGACCCGTGCATGAGCACTTTAATTCAAGCCAGCTTCCCACCAATGTGGGTCTCGCAAGGGCAAACACTCAGATTTCGCATTATGACAGCAGGCCAGGCAGCACTGGGATAGAGGCTATGCTGGGCAATCAGCAGTGTGCACCAATGTGGGCCTCGCAAGGACTCATTTTCGCACTATGACAGCAGGTCTAGACGACAGGGGCCATACTGGACAATCAGCAGTGTGCAGGGTGCGCCGGAACATGGAGTATCTTCAGAGTACTTCGTGTAACACAAATCCAAACTTTTCTCCATTTGATGCAGTAAGAAGCCCAGGTCTCTTCTTCAATTTTGATAAATTTAAGCAACTCGCCTTAAATTCAATTTTTTTTGGAGTCAGCGGGCCTCGAGCCTTGGTGGCTGCAGCGCCGGTTCCAGTAAATGACATGAACAAACCGAACAAAGACAGCGGTGAAACGTAGTAACTGGAGGACGAGGTTCGAACATGCTGCAGCGTGCGGACAGAGTCAGTATTAGCTGTTCAACAAGCGAAAATGGAAAGCCTCGCGCAGCGACCTCAAGCTGAAGCAAGTGGACCGTCGTCCAAAGTCGCCCAAGACAACATAGACCCAAGGCAAGGCTTCGACAGCCGTTCTTTGACGCCGGACAACAGACTGCCTTATGTCTTGTTTCAGCAAGGTCGTGCATAAAGTCAGAACAGTGGTGGCAAGATGGAGGAGACCACATGGTCCAGATGGATAAACATCAGTGATGTCCCTCCAAGAAATCAACAAGCACAGAAGTGCACGTGGCTCTGCAGATGCCCCGTGCTGGCTACCGAATGCACCCGCTCGGCGTCGTGTGGAACTGTATTTTTTTTTGGCTTATGCGGGCCTCGTCGACTACGGCTGTAGCACTCGGTCTGCGAATGAAC